ACTGTTTAATCACATTTGCCATGTGTTCAGATGATCCAATTAAAGACAATTAAAGGTATATCAGATGATAGTAATAACCAAATAATGCAAGATTAAAATCACTTTAGTGAAACTATTTTTAGGCAAATTTTATTTATTTATTTATTTTTTGAGATGAAGTTTCGCCCTTGTTACCCAGACTGAAGTGCAATGGCGCAATATCGGCTCACCGCAACCTCCGCCTTCTGGGTTCAAGCAATTCTCCTGCCTCAGCCTCCCGAGTAGCTGGAACTACAGTCGTGCACCACCATGACCAGTTAATTTTTGTATTTTTAGTAGAGACAGGGTTTCACCTTGTTGACCAAGATGGTCTCGATCTCCTGACCTCGTGATCCACCTGCCTCGGCCTCCCAAAGTGCTGGGATTATAGGCGTGAGCCACCACACCCAGCCTAGGTGAATTTTAAAGAACAATATTCTCTTGCTTTTCTTTGTATTAAATTGTGAGGAAGCTGGGACAAAATCTCTTTCTCTTTACAATTACTTTTTTTTAAGGCACCGTATGATGTCTAGTTCCTTGCTATTCAAAGTATGGTCCAAGGAGGCTGGGCACAGTGGCTCAAGCCTGTAATCCCAGTACTTTGAGAGGCCAAAGCCAGTGGATCACTTGAGGTCAGGAGTTCAAGACCAGTCTGGCCAACATGGCAAAACCCTGTCTCTACTAAAAATACAAAAATTAGCCAGGTGTGGTGCTGTGTGCCTGTGTTCCCAGCTACTGGGACACTGAGGCAGGACAATCAGTGAGCCAAGATTGCACCACTGTACTCCAGCCTGATCAGCAGAGGGAAATTTCATCTCAACAACAACAACAACAACAAAAATGATCCAGGGATTTTGTTAGAATTGAAAATTTCAGGTCCCACTCTAGAACTTCTCAGTGAGAATCAACATATAAAAAGAATCACCAGATGATTCAAATGAACATTTATGCTTTGTTAGATAGAAAGAAAGAACAAAACTCAACAACAAATTTTAAAAGTCATCACATTTAAAGTATAGTTAGATATTAAAAATAGATGCTATCAATTCTTTCTCAACACATCAGCATTGACATTTTAATACCAAAGAAGATATTTCTTAGGTAAATAGTATCGTAAAGGACCAAGCATATTTATCATTTATACATATATTGTATGACCAAACATACAATACTATTTAATATATGTGTGTGTGTGTGTGTGTGTGTGTGTATATACATATATATACTTAAAGTTCTGGGATACATGTGTGCAACATGCAGGTTTGTTACATACATATACATGTGCCATGGTGGTGTGCTGCACCCATCAACCCCTCATCTACAGTAGGTATTTCTCCTAATGCTATACTTCCCTTAGTCCCCCACTCTACTGACAGGCCCCGGTATGTGATGTTCTCCTCCCTTTGTCTACGTGTTCTCATTGTTCGACACCCACTTATGAGTGAGAACATGTGGTGTCTGGTTTTCTGTTCCTGTGGTAGTTTGCTGAAAATGATAGTTTCCAGCTTCATCCATGTCCCAGCAAAGGACATGAACTCATCTTTTTTATGGCTGCGTAGTATTCCATGGTGTATATGTGCCACCATGGTGTATAAGCTGGACATTTTCTTTATCCAGGTTATCATTGATGGGCATTTGAGTTAGTTCCAAGTCTTTGCTATTGTGAGTAGTACTGCAATAAACATATGTGTGCATGTGTCTTTACATTAGAATGATTTCTAATCCTTTGGGTATGTGTATCCAGTAATGGAATTGCTGGGTCAAATTCTATTTCTGGTTCTAGATCCTTGAGGAATCACCACATTGTCTTCCACAATGGTTGAACTAATTTACACTCCCACCAACAGTGTAAAAGTATTCCTATTTCTTTACATCCTCTCCAGCATCTGCTGTTTCCTGTCTTTTTAATGATTATCATTCTAACTGACATGAGATGGTATCTCATTGTGGTTTTGATTTGCGTTTCTCTAATGACCAGTGATGATGAGCCTTTTTTCATATGATTGTTGGCTGCATAAATGTCTTCTTTTGAAAAGTGTCTGTTCATATCCTTTGCCCACTTTTTGATGGGGTTGTTTTTTTCTTGTAAATTTGTTTAAGTTCCTTGTAGATTCTAGATATTAGAATCTTTGTCTGATGGGTAGACTGCAAAAATTTTCTCCCATTCTGTAGGTTGCCTGTTCACACTGATGACAGTTTCTCTGTCTTAAAAATGTGTTAGGTCTTGTAGTCTGCAGAGGGATGCTGGGGTCAGGGGTGAGAATTGATCAAATATGAGGTGGTGATAGCTGACAATTAAATGTCTGATATCTTTCTTCATTGCCAGGATTGGGGGACAGAAGGAAGGCAGGGATAAATAAACAGAACACGGAGGATTTTTAGGGCATTGAAACTACCTCTATGATATTATAATGGTGGATATAGGTCATTATACATTTGCCAAAACCCATAAAATGTACAACACCAAGAGTGTTGTACCACATCCTAAAATAAACTATGGACTTTGCGTGATAATGATGTATCAACCTATGTTCACCATTTGTAAAAAATGAGCCATTCTGGTTCAGGATTTTGATAGTGAAGGATACTGTCATATGTGGAGGCAGGGAGCATATGGGAACTTTCTGTACTTTCCACCCAATTCTGCTGTGAACCTAATACAGTTTTAAAAAATAAAATATATTTAAAAGGAAGATATAATACAACAAAAAATATTGTCCTCACCCTTGATGCTTAAGTCTCCTCTCCACAGGCACCAAATTTTCTAGTTTTCTGATATAAATATGATATAATTTTTCCTTTTTTCCACAAATGGCAATGTACTGCACACTGTATTTTGTACCTTGCTTTTTCCGTAAAAGGAGATTTTCAATACTGGTATAGAAAAAATCTTCTTTGTTCTTTTCAATAGCTGTGCAGTCTTGTATGAATGAAAAATAATTTGTTTAATCAGTTCCCTATTGATGGACATGAAAGGTGTTTCTAATCTTTTGCTATTACCAACAACTCTGCAGTGAATAATGTTATCCCTATATCGTTTTGCAAATAAGTATATAAATATTTGTAAAAATAAAGTCCTAGAAACTAAATTATTGACTCAAATAATATGTGCATTTGTAATTTTAATATATATTTCCAGAATTTCCTTCATACCTGGTTGTACCAAATCACATTCCGTATGGCAAAGTATCATTGGATTATACTCAGGAAGAATGTGCAATCAAACTTGTGGATCTTTTCCAGCTTCCTGGTTAAAAAAAATGGCATCACATCCTTATAATTTTTGTGGGTGCTCTTTATATATTAATGCACCTTTTATTTCTAACAAGAATTGCAGATGTTTTTCTAATTTTATTTATCCCTGGCTTTATATCAAATTATTTTTATGTAGATTTTTAAAAATAGTTGAATTCATCAATGTTTTCTTTTACAGCTTTAGGAATTTTTGTCACGGTTAGACAGGTCATATTACTTGAGATAATTTAAAAATATCATAAAAAATAAGACTAACATTTTCATGATTCTATTATTCCCATTTAAATTTTTAAACTCATTTTAGACTCATTTTTAATTTCTCCTGCTGTAAGGTAAAAAGTAGGCTCCAATTTTTTTTTCAGGTGACTACTTGGTTAATCCAACACTATTAATAATTTATCTTATTTCCCCACTCCACCTTCATTGATGTTAGATGTCACTTTTACCATACACTAAATTCTTGTATGTATTTGAATCCATTTCTATGCTATTTGCACATTGATTTTTCTCACTCTTCATGTGCCAGTACCACACTGTTTTAATTATTGTAGCCTTATATTAAATTCTAACATCTTGTAGGTGAGTGACCCTCATTACTCTTCTTTTCCAGAGTTTTTCTTGGTATCCTTGCCTGGTTTCTCTACATGAAATTTTAGAACCATCTTGCTTAGGTAAACAAAAAAAATCTTGTTGGTATTTTTACTTAGATAATATTAATTTATAGATGAATTTAGAAAGAATTGATTTTAAATAATTTTAAACCTTCCTTCTAAGGTTATGATTTACCTGTCCACTTGTTTGGCCCTTTTTTATGTTTATTGGTTGTGTTTTTATGTTTATATCATACAGTTCTCATGCTTTTCTTTTTAAGTTTATAAGAAGTTTATTCTTTTTTTTTTTTTTTAAGACAGACTCTCACTCTGTTGCCCAGGCTGAGGTGCATTGGTGTGATATCAGCTCACCGTTACCTCCACCTCCAGGGTTCAAGTTACTCTTGTACCTCAGCCTCCAGAGTAGCTGGGATTACAGGCATGTGGCACCACACCTGCCTAATTTTTGTATTTTTAGTAGAGACGGGGTTTTACCATGTTGGACAGGCTGGTCTCAAACTCCTGACCTCAAGTGATCTGCCCAACTTGGCCCTCACAAAGTGCTGGGATTACAGGCATGAGCCACCACACCCAGCCAAGTTTATTCTTAATTATCTTTCCTTTTGTAAATGCAGTATTTTCTTCCATTATATAGACAGGATTTTGCTATGTTACCCAGGCTGGAGAGCAGTGGCTATTTGCAGGTGCAATCACAGCACATTATACTCCCAAACTCCTGGGCTCAAGGTATCCTCCTATCTTAGCCTCCTGAATGCAGCAATAACAGGCACCTGCCACCATGCCCAACTTATATGCTCACTTATTGAGCGGGTTTGAAATATTTTCCACGAATGCTAAGTGGAGGTTGAAGGAGATCACAATGGGAAATTGTTCTAAATAACATAAAGGCAAGGATTAAAGAAAATACCAACTATACTGTGTTGCTACTCAGCAGATTCTGCTATAAAAAAATGGGAAGAGAAAGTCTTTGAGACAAAGTAATTTGCCTACACATTCATCTCCCTGGTACAAGTGCGTATTGTTCTGTACCCTGTGGTAGGATTATAAATATTGCCAGGGAACAAGTACACAAAGTTGTTATAGAAACCAGAATGTTTTAGCTCCGAGTTATTTACAGAGAACTTTCAGGATTATCATATTCAATAAAATCAACTCTTGTTTTGCTTCATCCTATGCTAGTGCATCCCAATCAAACATCTATTTTCAAGAGTTCTTCAATCAGCTGTACTTCTTTACATAAGAATTCAGGAGTCAGTGGATGGTGACTACATCACAAAAGTATAATTTATGAGTAGCATTTTTGTATCACATGTTTGAAGCTTGTTCATACTTGCCTCAACCATTGTTGAGTTTGCTGGTTTCCATAATATAGGAAAAAGGTAGCTACTGACTACTGCCTTCAGCAGATAAATATTTCCTTCAACGTAGCTGGTGTCTGTGTTGCCTGATACTGTGGTACTGTGGGACTAGGCTCTTCACATTCTTTCAACTTACCTTTAAGGCTAAACAGTGGCAGCTGCCTCTGACTATTGTTTTTGTCCTTAATTGTGAACTGTAGTTTTCCAGCTATCCAGGAGGATCTTTGAAAAAGTTGGGTGTTTTGTCTGAAAAGATAATTGCATAATGAGGATTTTCATCACCTTTGAAGGATCTTTTGAGACGTTTGATGTTTCAGCAGATGAAACTGTGGAGGCTGTCAAGCTGATGATAAAGGTATGTACTTTGTTCCTGAGCCACCAAAATGTATATTAATTTTAACTATGCATGCATTTAAAAATGTACAAAGGGTAGAGATGCTATTGGGCACATTTTCAGCAAACAGAGAATGAAAACTATTTGATACTATTATTTGCTTACACAATAGATTTATAAGAAGATGGTAACTCTGGTGGTGTTAGACAAGAAAGCAAATGGAGCTAGTCAATTCTCAAGAAAAAAAAAGTCTGACTTCTTTTATGGGAGTGTGTGGGTTGTGCATAGGCTAGATAATATTATTGCAATTCTTCATAAAAGGACAAAAGCAAGACACTAACTTCAGGCTATATAAGTGGGACATGCCAGCCATCAGATAAATTTCTTAGTTGGTGAGCAAAAAACTGTAAAGAATCAAAGGATTTTGGAAGCAGAGAGGACTTTAGAGAATTTGTGGGCAGTGGCTTCATTTTGTATTCAGGGAAAACTGAAGCTCAGAGAGGCAGACTATCTTACCTGGGATCACAGCACCAGAATAAGAAATAACTTGGGTACAGTATCTTCCTTATACATTTCATATAAATGTTCACTCTAAAATAAAAAATTAAGCAAAATATTTAGTTTCTGATCATCAAATATTTAACTTGGAGATGGTCATTCCTATTTGCTAAGAAGCATTAACTGAACCATAGTTACATGACATTCAGTTGATTATTATGATGACTGAAATCTAGATCTTGTAACACAAGGAATCTTAACCTTTATGTCTTATGAATCCCTTTGGAAGTCTGGTGAAGTCTATAGACTGCATCTCAAAATGTCTTTAAAGGCATAAAATAAACATGATAGAAATGAAACTTGTTATATTGAAATACATTTTCAAATACTAAAAAGCAAATGTATGATATAGTGACATGTGGACTTATTTATTAACACATTAACAAGGTCTAGCAGCTCATCTAATAACTATTGTAGTTTCAAAATTGAGATCAGTATAAATATTTTGAAGTATTTGTAACAACTATAACGTGCTATGAAAACATCTGTGACATCAATTGGTGGCAGTCACACTTACGGTGACTACTGCTACCTTCATTTGCTGCTTACACAAGTAGTTGAAACAAAATCTCAACTTCATTTAGAGTTAATAAAATGAAGATGTAGTTTTTTTCTCGTCTAAATTCTATCCATAAACTTTTCAGGAGTTTTCTCAGTTAAGAACCCCTGTTTAATACTTCTTCCCTTTGTCCCAAACAATTAGAATGCTCAGAGGAAAAAATGAAAAGGAGAAGAGAGTACATTTCTGGTCTAGTAATGTAGAGATGTACTGTTTTCATAATATGCTATTGATTTTTAAGGATTATTTCCACATTCCCCTCTCTGAAGACAAACAAGGCAGGCGGTATCTGGAGTTGATGTATGCTGGAGCCGCTCTAAAGGACAGTTGGAGTCTTGCTGATGTTGGAATATCTTTCTGTTCAACTCTCAAATGCTTTGTTAAGGTATGATGGTCAGGATAACATTTATATAAATGTTATATAAATAAAGTTGGGATAAGTCAACCAAAGTAATTCCATAACTTAGAAAGAGGTTGTCTCTTTTTGCCTTCTCCTCACTTTCATTTGTATAACTGGTCTTATGCATGCTTTGTGCTGTAAGGGGAAGTAAGACATGAAGAAGGGAAACAGTTGCCCCCTGTTTACTCTTCTTCCTCTTGCCTCCCCACGCCCTTTATTGTCTGTCCCATTCTGTCATCATAGAGCTCACCACAAACCAATATGAAAACAAAGCCAAGGGGCAGATCTGGAATTTTGATGTGGGAAGAAAAGCATTAGGTCACTTCAGTGAAAACACAGTGATTACTGGCAGTGGAATGAGGAAAGAGAAGAAATTCTAAGTAACAATAAGAATGAAAAAGAATTTTCTGCATCCAAATTCAGCCAAAGTAGCAATTCCAATTAGTTGTACATGCAATGATGAGAGCTTTTTTCATTTACAGAGGGTCCTTCATGGTGCTTGACTTAAGATGCACAGTTGGGCATTAAGAACCTTAAAAAATCCCTAAAGTTGTAATATATACAAAATTATGTGCCTGGAGATTTTCTGAGTCTAAGATCCGTATGTTCAACAATTTTTTAAAGGAATGGGTGGTCCAAAGAATTTAAATGCTGCTGCTCTAGGGCAGGTATTATCTTGTATTAGTGCTTTACCATATATAAAAATATGAACCTTAAGAAACTTAGCAAAGCATACATTCTTCACTAAATATGGCACCAAGTTTCTTATATTTAACATTTAAAAGATTATGGTAATTAAAGTTAACTCTTTCGGCATTAAATGATAATAAAAACTCCAAATGGAAAAAAAAATAAATAAAATAAAATAAAGTTAACTCTTTCTTTTAATATGTGTTAGTAATTGACTAAATGGATGTTTAAAAATATATATTCTGGCTGGCTACGGTGCTTGTAATCCCAACACTTTGGGACCCTGATCACTTGAGACCAGAAGTTCGAGACCAGCCTGGCCAACATGGTGAAACCCTGTCTCTACTCAAAAAACAAAAATTAGCTGGGCGTGGGTGGCACACATCTGTAATCCCAGCTGAGGCATGAGAATCTCTTGAACTGGGAAGCAGAGATTGCAGTGAGCTGAGATTGCACAACTACACTTCAGCCTGGGCAACAGGGTGAGACCCTGTCTCAGAAAAAGGAAAAGAAAAGATAAGAAATACTCTTCAATATTTATTATTAAATAGGAAAGACAAGTCACAGAACAATGAACATTGACTCATCCCACTTACATAAACAAAAGGCCATATTTACATGTGTTTAAATGTTTTATTTTCTCCCTCTTTCACACAGAAAATGGAAGTATAATACTACATTTCAAAGCAGACCAAATTCCAGCCATTTCTTAAGGTCTTCTCCTTATATCTTTAAATATATTTTCATACCATGTTTTCGGTATGATACAGGATCAACTCTCTAAAATTTCCCAGAATTCTGTAATGCCAATCATAAGGTTCAAGACTTTTTATTGTTTGCTTGCTTAGAGATAGTGGTGTAAGTTCAATACTACATTTGAGCTGACTGGAAGAATCTGATGGCGCTTCATGGATGTAAGTTTGTTAAGGGTATGAATAGGATACTTTTATTTAACTAAGGACTGATTTTATTTTTTTATTTAACATTTTAAAATTGTATTTATTTTTGTCTAGATAGCATGTTCACATAGTTCTCAATTCAAAAGGTACAAAAAGATACACAGTAAAAAGTCTCCTGGCCAGGTGTGGTGGCTCACACCTATAATCCCAGCACTTTAGGAGGCTGAGGTGGGTGGATCACCTGAGGTGGGGAGTTCAAGACCACTCATGGTGAAACCCTGTCTCTAATAAAAATACAAAAACTAGCTGGGTGTGGTGGGCATGGCTGTAATCCCAACTACTCAAGAGACTGAGGCAGGAGAACAGTTTGAACCCAGGAGGCAGAGATTTCAGTGAGCCAAGATTGCACCACTGTACTCCAGCCTGGGTGACAGAGTGAGACTCCATTTCAAAAAAGGAAAGAAAGAAAGAAAAAGAAAGAAGGAAGGAAGGAAAAGAAAGAAAGAAAGAAAGAAAGAAAGAAAGAAAGAAAGAAAGAAAGAAAGAAAGAAAGAAAGAAAGAGAAAATAAAAGTCTCCCTCCTCTGGCCCCCAGTTTCCCTCCCCAGATGCAACCTATGTTCACAGTTCTACTTACAAAAACATTTCCTAAATTCTGCTAATAAAGCATCATATATTACAGTGATGCAAGCTTCACACTGAACTCTTTTACCTAAAGTTTTAAACTGCTAATTCTGTAAATAGAAAGTAGGGGTAAAAGAGGTTATTCAATGAAACCAACCTGAGCAAAGTGGCAAGACCCCATCTCTGCAAAATACTTCAAAAATTAGTCAGGTGTGTAGTGCATACCTGTAATCCCAGCTACCTGCAAGCCTGAGTCAGGAGAATTGCTTGAACTCAGCCTGTGCAAGAGAGTGAGACCCTGTCTTAAAAAAAGAGAAGTTGGGCCAGGCGCGGTGGCTCAAGCCTGTAATCCCAGCACTTTGGGAGGCTGAGGCGGGTGGATCACGAGGTCAAGAGATCGAGACCATCCTGGTCAACATGGTGAAACCCTGTCTCTACTAAAAATACAAAAAATTAGCTGGGCATGGTGGCACACGCCTGTAATCCCAGCTACTCAGGAGGCTGAGGCAGGAGAATTGCCCGAACCTAGGAGGCAGAGGTTTCGGTGAGCCGAGATCGTGCCATTGCACTCCAGCCTGGGTAACAAGAGTGAAACTCCGTCTCAAAAAAAAAAAAAAAAAAAAAGAGAAGTTTATTCAAGAGAGACAGGGCAGAAGTCACAAGATTGGGCAACACACAGAGTTTAATTAAAAACTCTCAAGTTCCATAAAATTTTACTAATTGTACTCTTCATTCCTCATTCTTTGAGGCCTGGGACATTTGGAGAATATCCCAGGCCTCAAAGAATGAGACCAACTCTATCATGCTTGCCTATCTCAGTTTACCAAACGCTGCTTTCCTTTGCAGTGTAAGTTCAATACTAACATTTGAGCTGACTGGAAGAATCTGATGGCTTTTCAGGGTTCTAAGTTTGTTAAGGGTGGAATAAAGTCATGTTACTGCTTTACTGAATAATTAGATATATACACATTTAAATAGTACCTTTCCTACTTAACTATGTTTAACCACGTTACTTTGTGAAAGTTAGTTTTCCTTGAGAGAGAAGGAAGAAGCCACAGTAAGGGAGGGAATGAATCCATGAAATGCATATCTTTAGCATCTCTAAATTTTGGTAAAACTTAGAAATATCATAATGTGAACCCAAAACTTTTGTAAATTTCAAAAACTTGGCAAGTGAGTTTTTCTTTCTAAAAAGGTACAAGTACATATTATGTCTCATGAAATAAATCCAAAATACTTGGCTTACTTATCGTGTTCATATTTTTGTGTGCTTACAAGTTTTTGCTTGTGTGAAAAAGAGGGAGAGACACTGGATACAGAGATTATATACTGTTAAGTATATTCTTTAAATAGTCAATACTTTTTCCAGCTTCTCTGTATATTATACTTTTCTTTTAATGGTAATACAGACCCATTTGGAAAAGAAATAGAAATAGGGGTGATATACAAATAGTGGTAAAAGAACATTGTATTAACTTTTCCTTCTTTGGAAAATCACTCTTATAGAAGCCATAATCAATATTTCCTATGGCATACAGTTCCAATTTCTGTTAATACAGGAGTCAGCCCTGACCATTCATTGCTGATGCTGTTGAAATTCACTGCGTTCCTATAAACCATGGCATGAGGCACTGCAAAAGCATGTTTTTGTACAACAGGCAGAGGTGCTATCACTTTTGCTTCTTTCGTTTTAACCTGTGTTATCGTGGAAATGATTGCTTAAGTTTTGTCCACTGTTTTCACCCAGTGCTTAGAATAGTATCTGATATAATACATAGTAGGCTGTACATAAATAGGTGTTAAATAAATGAATTGATAAAGGTTTGAGAGGTAAAGTATGGAAATTAACAAGACGGTATATGATTGTCTGCAATTCATAGCAAGGTACTGAGATGCATTTCAGGGATCCATTCCCTCCCTTACTGTGGCATTTCCCATTTTTCTCTACTTTCAAGGCAAAGCACTCCCCAGTATTCTAAGCCTTTCCCCTAACCAACATCAAGGTTTTTAGTTGCAAGCAGCAGAAACAAAGCCTAGATAATTTAAGGAGAAAATAAATATTGAGAAGCTATTGAATAATTTTCAGGAGATTGGAGAATCAATCTTAGAGATTATGCAGCCAGAAACAACATCTAAAGCATGCCCCAGAACTAATCTGGGAAGGCCACCTCTGCAGGCAACACTGAGCCTTCAAAGCAGGCATTGGACATGCTGCCTGCCCTGCTGCCAGGCCAGCAATGCTTCAGAAATGCCATTGCCCAGAGACTTTGCTGTGTTTCTCGGCCTTATTGGCTTTTAATTCAAAGTGGGAGTAGATAGGTAAGTCTGATTGGGAGCACCTTGTCACAAGTCCATGCTCTACTGCAAAAGGGCAACTATCCAGCTGGTTATGCTTTTCACAGCACGCAGTGGGCTCAGCCTCCCTAGGACTCCTTCTGGCTTCCCTACCACCTTCTGTAACCAGACTTGTGCCAACCAACTGCTGGGGTCAAAACATAGTCAATCCCCCGACATCCCTGGAATGTTGTGAAAAGCTGGTTATTGTGTTTTTTTCTTCTTTTGAGACACAGTCTCACTCTGTTGCCCAGGCTGGAGTGCAGTGGCACAATCTCGGCTGACTGCAACCTCTGCCTCCCAGGTTCAGGCAATTCTCCTGCCTCAGCCTCCCAAGTAGCTGAGATTACAGGTGTGTGCCACCATGCCTGGCTAATTTTTGTCTTTTTAGTAGAGACAGAGTTTCATTGTGTTAGCCAGGATGGTCTTGATCTCCTGATCTCGTGATCCACCCACCTCCGCCTCCCAAAATGCTGAGATTACAGGCATGACCTACCACACCCAGCTGATATAAAGCTGTTTTATGCTGAGGGACTGAGTTAACTGTAGTACCATTGAGTAGATCTCTATTAGGTAAGTTAGAGAAGTTTGTACTATCTTGACAAGTCTAAAATGATTCAAAATGATATACATTTTAGCTTTCAAAAGATACTGTTAACATATAAACACCAAAATCCAGGAAATATATATGTGGTTTTATATTTAATCATTTTTATACACAAAAGCATGTATAAACATGTTTCTTTAAAATTTACATATGAAAGTATGTTTCTTAAAAATGGCTCTCTTTTCTAAGATGAGTAAAAACAAAAGGTATGAAAAGAATCTGGTGAAGAAAGGTATTCCAATTCAATGTCCAAGACTCCAAGGATAATCTCTCCAGGAAGACTACCACCCAAGAGAAGTTTATGAAGACATCTCACTGGAATTCATTCAGTTCAACAAAAACAAATATTATTTCTCCTTTTAGTTCACTTTGAAATAGTTGGGGCAAGCTTTTGCTTGCTTAGTGCTGTAATTCCAAAACAGCAAAATATTTTTAAAAAGCAGAACTTGAGAAAAAAATAGCAGTATATTCAAAACTTTCATTAACTTGTTTTCTTTCAGTCAGTTCTGTTTAACGTTTCCTTTTTTATTGTTAAAGTACATGTATGAATTTACAGTAAGTTTGCATTTGTTTTTTGAAGGTAAGTGTGGAATTATTCTCATGAAATAGAATCTATTTGTTTTTACTGAAAAGTAAGATACTTTGTGTTTATCTCCTGTGTTGGTTGGTTTGTGTCTCAGTTTGTTTATAAAGGGAAAAGTCTAATTTTATATATGTCCAAAAGTGATTTGTGTGTGGTATTATATATTTAATAGCATCTGACTTCCTTGGGTGTGACTGACCAGCCTTCTCTGATTCAGAATATATGGGGAGAAGTATCATATATAGAAAGAAGTAGAGAGATGCCTTCTCTTAGGTGAATAAGGTGGGTTCGCAAGTTGCTATTAATTGGCATCTACCCACTCCCTCATCATACAACCAAATGAGGGAGTATTGACAACTAACGTGCCTCACTAGAACTCAAAATGGGTTTTCCCATGAAAACAAGGCTTATAAAAAGGTGAATATGTAGAGTTAAAAGATTGTGGTGATGACTGTGATCCAGATACATTATGGATTAAAAAGGCCTCAGATGTCATTAAACATTTATTATTTATTTACAAGATAAAAAGTTCCCGAGTGCAAAAACAAACAAACAAACAAACAAACAAACAAACAAACAAACCTCTGTAGGTGTTAATTTTCTTGAGACTTAAGAACCTTGCTTCATTAATAATTAATAATATTTTCTTCCTTGCACTTTTTATTTTCATCTAAAGATTGCCAGATCAGCTGGGCACAAAGGCTCACTCCTGTAATTCCAATACTTTGGGAGGCTGAGGTAGATGAATTGCTTGAGACCAGGGGGTCCAGATAGCCTGGGCAACATAGCTAGGCCCTGTCTCTACAAATAAGAATTTTAAAAGTAGCTGGGTTTGGTGACGAGTGCCTGGACTTGGGAGGCTGAGGCGGGAGGATTACTTGATTACTTGAGCCTGGGAGTTTGAGGTTACTGTGAGCTCTGATAATGCCACTGCTCTTCGGCCTGGGCAACATAGTGAGACCCTGTCTCAAAAAAAAAAGATTGCCAGATATTTTGCAATTATCCCTTATTACTTATTCCAGAGTCAGTTATGTGTATACTAGGTTACACATTCTTATCTTTATATAAATATGTAATTAATTATTCATATTCTGAGAAGCTTCTTTTTGACTTATTTATCTAACTTCATATAGCTAGTTAACTTAAAAGTGACTTGAGAGCCGGTATGGAAGTGTATTCTTTTCCTAACTACTCAGGAGGTGGGAAGACTGCTTGAGCCCAGAAGTTCAAGACCCGCCTGGGCAACACAGAGAGCCCTAGACTCTAAAAAAATTTTTAAAGAGTGACTTGCGCATCTGCTATTTTGTTTGCATGTTATTCTATTTGCATTTGTTTTGTTGTTTGCATTTAATTTGCTATTTGCATTTAATTCTAAATATAAATTAGGAATATTTAAAGAAATTAAAAAGAGCTATTACATAAAATACCATTTTTCTCTCTTTCCCACTATCTTTTTATTCAGTTTTCATAGGAATTTCTGCCTGCCCATAAATATTGTCTGGATTAGCTTGAACAGACATTTGCCTTATGGAACCATAGGCAAGCATGGCATGGCAAAAGGGAAAGGGTGAATACTGTGCACTTTAAATTTGTATTGCATGGGTTTATGAGAAACTATCATCAAAAATTTTTCTAAGCACATTAGTCTCAGTGGGCAACTCAGCCTGCCGATCTGGCTTTATGTGCAGTCACAGAAGAGCCGAACCTGTTCCTATTCACATCAGTCACTGATATGGGCCCTAGATCAAAGCATTGTAGCCTTAAATTTCATCAGTAACATCACTCCTCACAGGCTGTTTCAAAAAGGTCTCCATGTTGATGATGTTACTGCAATATGTTATGTGGGAGAGGGGAATGAATTTAATGTATTATGAGTCTGCAGGAGGAGGGGTCCCTGGAGAAACCAGAGAGGGATTCTGATAAAAGAAAGAAGGGAAGGAAACAAAGGAGGGGCAAGCCAGCATTGACAGACTGGAGCCTCCTGGAGAACCTGGAGGCAAGATACCAGGCTCTGAGAGAGTCCTGCATTCGTGGGCATTCTGTGGGCATGCACCGGTATCTGCCAACCCAACAACAGGCAGTTGCAGAAAAATATTATTGTCCTGAATCTGCCAAAGAGGAAGTAAAGCCAGTTTCATTTTTCATTAGAAAAGTGGAAATGATAATAATCTTTTCCTCCCCACCTGCTTCCCATTTTTCCTATTTGCTATATTTTGAGTTTGGATTTGGCTTGTTTAAACTGTTGTTAACAGAAGGATTAATATTTTCCTCAGACTTTCCATGTTAATTCTACTTCAGATAATCTCAGTTCTACTTGCTTTCCTACTTGTATTATGAAACGAGAGAAACAAAAGAAATTTTTCTAAACCTATATTCAGTATTTCCCTCTTTAAATAGTAAGAGTACGCTGGGCACAGTGGCTCGCGCCTATAATCTCAACACTATGGGAAGCCAAGTTGGGAAGATCATTTTTTTAAAAATGAAAAAAAGAAAGAAAGAAAAAAGATAAATAATAAAAACAAATATATGAAACTTTTTTTTTTTTGAGACAGAGTCTCAATCTGTTGCCAGGCTGAAGTGCAGTGGCACAATCTCGGCTCACTGCAACCTCCACCTCCCATGTTCAAGCAATTCTCCTGCCTCAGTCTCCTGAGTAGCTGGGATTACAGGTGTGCACCACCACACCCATTTAATTTTTTGTATTTTTAGTAGAGACAGGTTTTCACCATGTTGGCAAGGATGATCTTGATCTCTTGACCTAGTGATACGCCCGCCTCAGCCTCCCAAACTGCTGGAGTTACAGGCGTGAGCCACCACGCCCGGCCTGTATGTGACTTTTTAAAAAGTCAAACCATACAGACAATGAAAAACACAAAATGATGAGCAAACACTCCCATCACACTCTCAACTCAGTTCTACTTCCTAGAAATAACCTCTTAGAAAAAAATTTTTTAATTGACTGAAGATTTCAAATCCACAGTATTCCAAATCAAAGTGCTGCATAATAGAGAAATGTTTTCTAACTAACACATCCATAAGCACAGGATGGATATAAATTATTAACTCTCATGTATCTGGGTCTGTGGACTAAGAAGTACAAAGGATCTCAAAGCCCTGCCAAGTCTCTCTCACTTCACTCAAATGGAAGGACCTGTTAACATCTCAGGACTTAAGAGCTAGACTCAGACCCGAAGGCAGAGAAATTAACCGACTACTGCTTTCACTTTAACACCCATGTCATGGAGCTAGAGGTGCTCAGAGCTACCCCTGAAATGCTTGGCCCTCATCCTAATCTCCAGACAATAAGTTCCCTCCTTTTCTTTCCCTTTAGGAAGAAGACAAGCCTACTCTACACGTGTTCAATGCTGTAACCCAAGACACAATGCCAATAATGGAGAGCATTTCCCTTCTTGACAAAAAAGTGTCTGATCTGAGAACACTGGTAACTCTGAGATGTGGCCTCCCCGTGAGTGTCTACTGTCTCCGAACCCCAAAGGGACTGGAGATGTATGATTGCAACATGCTCAAGGACTACCAGACTGATATTGGTACTGCTCAGTATATTTGATATCAGCTACCATTCAGCACTAGGGTACCTTGATACCAGATTTTGCAGCTTTTCAAGAGAAAATGGAAATCTAGATTTTCATATATAATCTGTTAACTTTATTTACATATCCACTTTAAAACAGTTACTACATTTACATGGTTTACATACCAGAAGTGGAAAAGGATGTGTAGTGGTAAGCCTCCCTCCCTCTCCTGGCCCTCCAAGACTTAGTTCCCTCCCCATGGGCAACCATTATTGTTTTGAAGATTCACAATCAAAAGTATTTCCAAATTAAATCTCAACAAATGAAGGCATTATTTCTAATGGAAATCTCTGTAAGTTCGGTGTAGATATGAATTATCAACATTTCATTCTTGTGTCTAGGTCTACAGACTAAGACATAAGGAGGGTCTCATAGGCATGTCAAGTCTTATTCTCAAAGCAGATTCATTCATATCCTCAAGGGAAGAAAAGCAAAACTTAGACCACTTCATCTTTTTCCCTTTCAAAATACACTTCAAGCATGTACAAATGCAAGTTGAAGTACACATTCGCCCCCGACTCTTTTTTTTTTTTGAGACAGAGTCTCGCTCTCTTGCCAGGCTGGAGTGCAGTGGTGCAATCTCTGCTCACTGCAACCTCTGTCTCCTGGGTTCAATCAATTCTCCTGCCTCAGCCTCCCAAGTAGCTGGGACTACAGGCATGTGCCACAATGCCCAGCTCATTTTTGTATTTTCAGTAGAGACAGAATTTTGCCATGTTGGCCAGGATGGTATCCATCCTTGTGATCCGCCCACCTCGGCCTTCCAAAGTGCTGGGATTACAGATGTAAACCACCACACCTGGCCCTCTTTTTTCCTTTTTAAGTGCAAGGTAGCATATGATGCGTGCTATTCTGAACACTGCTTTGGGAAATTTTATCTTTAAAATGTCGCTGCTTATGTTAAAATAATCTTTTTCCCAATGTGACACAATGCTGTACTGGCTGAAAATCTGCCTTAGTGGAATGGCGTTTATCCCTGATAGAAATTGCAACCTCTCTTTAAATACTATACCTTGGCTGGGCATAATAACTAGTGATTCATCTGTAATGCTAGCACTTTTGGAGGCTGAGGAGGGGGATCACTTGAGCTCATTAGTTCAAGACCAGCCTAGGCAACATAGTGAGACCCTCATCTCTACAAAAAATAAAAAAATAGCTGGGTGTGGTGGTTCACACCTGTAGTCCCAGCTGCTTGGGAAGCTGAGGTAGGAGAATCACTTGGGCCAGGAGGTTAAGGCTGCAGTGAGCTGTGATCACACCACTGCACCCCAGCCTGAGTGACACCAAGACCCTGTCTCAAAAAAAAAAAAAAAATCTGTACTTCCAGGTAATATCTGCTGTAGCCGAACATCAAGTTAAAAAAGGCTTTCAGATTTGTTTTAAGCATGCTAAAAAAATGTTCAACAATACAGAGATTAACATGGCCCCTATGTGACAATGACATACAAGTTCGTGAAGCATTTGATATTTTTTAAATGGTTGGAACCTTATAGAAATTATTACTTGAAATATATAAATCCTTGCTGACAATCAGCACACCCTTAGGTAACATTGTGTTATAACATTGCAATGAAATTTGAGCTCTCCCAACATATACATAGGGCTTTGTAGGTGTCCTTAGTTAAGTAGTTTTGCTTTATATAACTGCTAAATTTGCATTTATTGATACTTCTACTGTTATATTTGCTTGGCATTATTCTTTCCTGTTATTTTAAATTAAGGCTCTCAAAACTTTGACATAATTTTTTTTCCTTGTTTTTGATCCGGGGAAGTGAAGTTCTACAATTCATCCTCAGAGTACTTTGCTATAATGCACACATCTGCTCTGCATGCTTACAGGAGGGTGAGCCCTGCTTAGAACATGTTGAGGGCTTACATAAGGAAGGGCACACAGTGGCATTTGTCCCCAAGTAACTGATAATCTAGTTATTTAATGAAGTACCACAGGATAAAACAAAACTAGAATAAACTCTGGATGACTATTCTTCAGGCCTACACTGCTCAGATTATGATGCGATGTGTTAAGCTGCAGGATACTTTGAATTGACACAACTCCAACTTTTACAGATTTGAAGAAAAAAAAAGCAAATCTTCTGAATGATTAAATTACTTGCTCAGTGTGTGTCAGGGTCAGCATACCTACTCTTTAAAATGACCCTCTGGGAGTAGGAACTTTAGGAAATGAGGTTAAGGGTCTGAGCATGACCTGAGTAGGCTGCTTTGGCCACCATGAGAACACAGAACATCAGAGGAGAGACAAGGAAAGAAGGACCTCAAAGGGAAGGGAAGAAGGGCCCTTTGGTCTCCTTCATATGCTTCATACCTTTGCCTAAAGCATAACTAATATCCCTTAAGCAGCCAGCTTACCTTTTGTTTTTGAGATGGAGTTTCGCTCTTGTTACACAGGCTGGAGTGCAATGGCGCGATCTTGGCTCACCGCAACCCCCGCCTCTTGGGTTCAGGCAATTCTCCTGCCTCAGCCTCCTGAGTAGCTGGGATTACAGGCACGTGCCACCATGCCCAGCTAATTTTTTGTATTTTTAATAGAGACGGGGTTTGACCATGTTGACCAGGATGGTCTCAATCTCTTGACCTCATGATCCACCCGCCTCGGCCACCCAAAGTGCTGGGATTACAGGCTTGAACCACCGTGCCCGGCCACCTTTTTTTAAACTAGAAGGTAAAAAGAGTCCTTGATCGGCTTCTCTTACAGCATTTCTCTTTCTAGTGAACAAGTCGTCCCTGATGCTCACAGGAGTTGAACCTTAGCCCCTTTTCCAAAGGCAGTGGAAAATCAGAAGTGTTTAGAGAAGCAGTCAAGTCCAGGTTGAAAACCAAAGATTTAGGTAGCTCAATTAATCACTGCACATACTAGCTCACACAAATATTTACAAAGCTGCCTCTGCACTCTGGGTGTTTACAGTAAAGTGATAGAAATGAGACATGTTTTCACACTCAGTTAAAATGCAATAAGTCAGCTCAATGCAGGCTGAAGGCAGGTAGGGAAGGCATTCTGGAGAATATGTGGCTGGAGCACACAAAAATGTGGGAACCATGGATCATTTGAGAGGAGGAAGGGAAGACAGTCCAGGCTTCCAGGCCAGGAGAAAAGCATGAGTCACAGGTTCATAAGCATGGGCTTATACCAGGGAAGGACAGAAAGCAGGAGACTGTTCTGGAGAGTGAAGGAGCCTTGCTGAGAGCACTAGGAAACACAGCTGAGGGCAGAAGGAGGAGGGTCTTAAGGTGAGGGGACAGAGCGCAGGTTTGTTGTGGCTGTAGCCAGAGGCATGCACCTTCTGAACAGGAATGTTTTAAGTGAGGTTTAATCTGGTAGCAAGCAATATGAAATACAGAAAGGAGTAAGGAAAGCCTGCAGGGAGGGTGGTACACTAACTGGCTTGTTTGATAATCCCAGTATTAATTAATTCCCCTAGCAATGGAACAGACAAATCTGAAAAACACAGAAGACAGAACAGGACAGAACATCATGCTAGATCACTTTTTTTTTTTTTGAGACAGGGTCTCACTCTATCATCCAGGCTGGAGTGCAATGGCACCTCAGCTCACTGTAACCGCTGCCTCCTGGATCCAAGCGATTCTCCCACCTCAGCCTCCCAAGTAACTGGGACTAAAGGCATATTCCACCATGCCTGGCTAATTTTGTTTTTTTTTGAGATGGGGTCTAGCTCTGTTGCCCAGGCTGGAGTACAGTGGCATGATCTTGGCTCGCTCCAACTTCCACCTCCCAGTTTCAAGCAGTTCTCCTGCTTTAGCCTCTCGAGTAGTGGAGATTATAGCCACTCACCACCAAGCACAGCTAATCTTTGTATTTTTCATAGAGATGGGGTTTCACCATGTTGGCCAGGCTGGTCTAGAACTCCTGACCTCATCATGATCTACCGGCCTCAGCCTCCCAAAGTGCTGGGATTACAAGCATGAGCCACCATGCCCAGCCAATTTTTAAAAATTTCTTTTTAATAGAAACAGGGTTTCACCATGTTGGCCACACTGGTCTCAAACTCCTGACCTCAAGTGAAGAGTTTCACCTTGGCCTCTTAAAGTGCTGAGATTTCAGGCATGAGCCACCATGCCCGACCCTAGATCACATTGAAGTAGAGGAAAGAACCAAAACTCTCACACTAGGACAGTGGTGGGGAAATTGATGAAAGGAGTTATGCGTTTTAAGCTTTAGATATGAGGAAACTCAGAGAGTACTTTTTAAAATAAAGTTACTCAGCTGGTCAGTTAGTGGCAAAGCTGTAAATACACCCGAAGTCTCCTAATTCTCCTTCACTACTAACAAGGAGCTAGTGCTTGAGTGATAGGTTGGGTTAGCAGATACTGATCCTGCCCATGTAGGTGGAGATCAAGCCAGGTGAGGAGTGCATTCTTCAGAGAGTAAATATAGAGAGGAACGTATTAAGGGCCAATGGTTGGCACTTAGGACATGCTGAGGTCAGAGCAAACACAAAGAAGAGTCAGAAAACGAGGCATGGAAAGCTGTCACAGTCAGGAGAACTGGAACTCTGTATTGTAACAGATGATGAGACTGTTTTCAAGATGCTGGTAAAAGTCCAAAGACAATTCTTAGAAAAAATAGCTTTGGATTTGGTTTAAAGGTCTTTGGTGGGCTCAGAGAGAGCAGTTTTAATAAAGGAGATGGAGAAAGATTTCAGGAATTAAGAAGATAAGTAATGAGGGGATAAGGGGATTCTGGTGGTAGAACATATAATGACTAACTTATCATGAATCTATCATGCTAAATATATCTTAATATGTATGATTTTCTGACTTGAGGCTTAGTGGCACATCATATAGGTCCAATACACACCCCTTGTCTTACATCAACCTATATGTACCAAATATTCAGTTTAGCCCTGCTTCTAGCTCTGAAATCTCTGCCCTGGCCTTTGCTTTCCTCTTGCTTATCTACATACATATCTGCTTGTTATTCTGTTTATATTTCACATATATTCAAAAACTGGCATTCATCCTTTTTGCAACAAGGAGTACCTAAACAAATGAGTGAATGAATTAATGCCTTTTCTTTACAGATTATACCAATCAGTACTCTTCACTATAAATGCCTGATGGGATATATTCATGGCTGCCTGGGCACATTGCTTCTGAGAAACCATTCAGGAGCAGGGTTGTGTCGGCTCAGATCCTGAAATCTGAGCTGGCTCCAGGGTCCTTTTACCGACCTTTAGGCCCATGGAGACCTAAGGTGCCATTTTAATTCCTTTTATTGATGAGAAACTGAGGTTTGGAAAAGTTAAGTGATCTGATCAAGGTCACACTGCTAATAAGTGGTAATCACACACCCAGGATTGTGTTCTTTCCAACAATTTACACTGCCAAACCAGTATGCCTTTATTGATACTCTGATCAATGTTTTATTTTGTTTCCTGCATCAGATGAAGCTCAAAACAGAGAAATAATTTTCCATATTCAGGAAGAAAAAGTCCAAATCAGGTAGGCATACATTGACTCTTGGGGTATGAATGAGGAATCCAGAAACTTGGGAGTCAGAAGCCACATGTGGAGAGGTTGAGGATGATTGCCTAAATAGGCACTGTTGCTCCCATCTGCTGTCCTGTGTGGTCTCGACATAGTACATATGTTTGCAAGCACAGAATGGGCAGATCTAGGTTTTGTAAAGATAATACAATTTTGTGGGTCCTCTTTTAAAAAATTCAAAGCTAAGACAAGAGAATTAGAAGGCTCATAGAAGGCAGTGAGGGGCCCTAAAGCTTATTAGTTTTTCTCTCTCTTCAGTAATAGGTTTTAGTTGCATTTTTTTTGGAACAACATAGCATTTTTCAAGTAAATTTGTATTTCCCAACAGAATTCCCAGCTTATGAAGGAATTTAATATCTCACAAAGAAGGCATTACAAAGCAACAGGGGTAAAAGGATTATCCAATAAACAGTCCTAGCTGACTTGCTTAGAAATTCTCTGGATATTCAAAACTTGAGCATTATCAGGACTGTTTCATTGCATGGAACTGAACTGATGGTTATAACACCTGTAATATTTGCTACTAGACAAGGAATTAAAGTGAAACAAAATATAGGACCAGATGGAGACGCTCCACCAATGTTAAGAATATTGAAATTGTACAGCCTTCTCTGTAGTTTTCAGAATCAGGTCTCATTCAGCAGTAGGCAGGCTGGGTTAGAGACAGCTGAGACTCTGAGGGTAGGCAAACCTCCAGAGAACAGGTAGGCCAGGAAAATCCCATCTATAGACATTTAGCAAGGGGAGGTTAGCTTCAAATAAGTCTTTCTGGTGGAAGTGCTGGAATAGGCAGGTCAGTCTGCAACTGTCAGTTGGTAAGGCCAGGGAAGTCAGAGGGTGACCCTCAGGGAGATCCAGCAGGGACCTGATGAGTGAACCATAGCACCAAGGTAGTGAATGAATGAATGAATGAATGACACAAGAGGCAGGAAACTAGATAAGCTGATGTTGACATCAGAAGCTCTGACAGCATGTGACAGAAATCTAACCCCAGAGATTAGGGTTCAGAGTAGGAAATTCAGAAATGAAAAAATTAATCTTAAAACCCAAAAGGTGGGGTAAAATATTGAGATTCACAACATAGGGCACAAAGTGAGGACTTGCTTAGAAGTGACTAGAATATCTGACCAACAGAAGTGCCTAGAATATCTGACCAGGATGAACAGGAACACTGACTTCCTACAAACCCTCTAAGTCACTACATCTTTTTTTTTAGATTTTGTAGAGATGGAGTCTTGCTGTGTTGCTCAGGCTGGCAAACTCCTGGCCTCAAACCATAAGCCACTTCTCTTGATCCACAGGCACAACACTTCGTTTGGACGTCTGGGATGGATGGAAGGAATTTCTGATGGCTTGTCTACTTGGACAAAAACTTAAAGTCCAACGCTATTTATCAAAAGAAGGACCAGTACTCAGGTATGAGAGATTAATGTTAAATTAACTTAGCAAGTGCTGTAATTTTTCACTAAACGTCCATCAGACCTTGAGCCTGCAATTAACTGTACAGCTGGGGTACTGCTCTCTGCCAATTCCACTTACCATGTCTCAACCAAATATCATTGACATATTTGCTGGAACAAAACAGCAGGGATACCATCAGGACTCATAGTCTTGTGATTCAGGTAGAATTCCCTCAGGAAATACTAACTACAGTTAACCTTTAACAATGCAGGGGTAAGGGATGCCAACTCTCCACACAGTTGAAAATTCACATATAACTTTTGACTTCCCCAAAGCTTAGCTACTAATAGCCTACCATTGACCAGAAGCCTTACTGATAACACAATTAACACATGTTGTGTATATTATATGTATTATATACCATATTCTTACAATAAAGTAAGCTAAGAAAACAAAACATTAAGAAAAATCATAAGAGAAAATGTATTTCCTGGTCATTAAGTGGATGTAGATAATTATGAGGGTCTTCAATCTTCACGTTGAATAAGGCTGAGGAGGAGAAAGAGGAGAAGGGGTTTGTCTTCTGTCTCAGGTGTGGCAGAGGTGGAAGAAAATCCACAAACTGAACCCCCGCAGTTCAAATTCATGTTGTTAAAGGTTAACTGTGATTAAATGGGTGACTTCGATTTGGTTTAGATATGAGACTTTCAGCAACATTTTTAAAGGCTATCAGAATAAATACAGACAATCCCCAACTTATGATGGTTCAAACTTAGATTTTCAACTTATAATGGTGTAAAAGTGATATTCATTCAGTAGAGACCAAACTTGTAGTGTGCATACAACCATTGTTTTTCATTTTCAGTACAGCATTCAATAAATTGCATGAGATATGCAAAACTTTATTATAAAACAGGCTTTGTGTTAGATGATTTTGCCCAACTGTAGGCTAATTACGGTAGGCTAGACTAAGATTTGATGTTTAGGAGATTAGGTGCATTTTAGACTTATCATACTTCAAACAGATGATGGTTTGTAGCAGGACATAACCTTTTAATAAGTCAAAGGACATCTGTATCTTGCCACTTTCACATTCAGTTATTCTTTACGAAAACACTTGTTAATTGGCTGAAAACGGCCATATCTTCCTAAGCTCACATGTAATTTTTCAAACTGCATTTATTACCAGCATTTGCACTTCTGTCACACATAAAGTGTAACGGCTATGACTGGGACAGTGGAGGAGGGTAGGTTCAGAGAGGCAGGTGGTCATTTTAATGTGTTAATACGGCCATCAGCTTCTCAAATACATAAACTGCACTAATCTGTAGGTTTAATAGTTTTTTAGAATAGTGCCCCCTCGTGGGTGATTTAATCATGTTTTGCAGAAGCCAATGCACCAGAAGATCTAAGGGCTCTGTGAAGTGATGGATTAGAAGGGCAGCTTTTACAGTTTTATAAAATATTCAAATATTTTACACTGATTTCTATTGTGGGATATTGATAGTTTTTTTCCATGTTCTTCACCCAAAGAAATAGCTGTGTTGCTTTTTACTTTGAACAGTATTACTTTAGTTAATAGTAGTTTAATACTTTGTGGCAGACACTGTGTTATATTTATTACCTCATTTTATGCTTACAACAATTTGATGAGGTGGACACTTTTTAATCTTATTTTACAGATGAGGAAACTAAGATCAGAAAACCTGCCCCATGTTGTCTGGGTGCAGTGGCTCACACCTATAATCCCAGCACTTTGGGAGGTCAAGGTGGACAGATCACTTGAGGTCAGGAGTTCGAGACCAGCCTGGCCAACATAGCAAAACCCCCATATCTACTAAAAATACAAAAGTTAGCTGGGTGTGGTGGCTCGCACCTGTAATTCCAGCTACTGAGGAGGCTGAGGCAGGAGAACTGCTTCAACAAAGGAGGTGGAGGTTGCAGTGAGCTGAGATTGTGCCACTGCACTCCAGCCTGAGCACCAGAGCAAGACTTTGCCTGCCGGGGACAGAGGCAAGGAAATGTGCTCCATGTCATACAAATAGCAAGGGCAGAACTGGGAATTGAATAGTAACAATTTGACTCTAGTGTTCATGTGCTTGACCATCTACACTTGTCTTCATCTTTAAATAAAATCTAAGAGCTCAGAGAATGTAAATGGTCAGACTTAAAAGCTCCTTTAATTTCCCCATGCTTGATATTTGTCCTGAGGATTTAATTTTTATAAGAAAGATGATCACTTCAAGGAAACTATTTACATGTGCATAGTAGGATAATGTGTATAAGCAGAATCTGCACAATTTAACCTGTATATCATTATCTGCCTTTTCTAAAAACATTTTAAGGTAAAGGTTAGAAGAAATAAACATTTAACTAGAATATTTCATGAGTATTTAGTGTAACCACTTTTGTCTGTTTGCTGATTTTCTAACCACCCCCTCCCCACTTGTTTCACTCATTTAGGTATCAGAAAAGGGTAGCCCTGTACATTGCTGCTTTTTGTGGGTACATTGAACTCACTGAGTGGGCCCTGAAGCAGGGTGTGCAGCCCCACGAGGCAGTCGGTGTTCACCCCTATCGAGCATGGTGCCATGAAGCCCTTCATGCAGATGTCTCTAAATGCCCCATTCATGCAGCTGCAGAAGCAGGCCAACTGTTGATTCTGAAGGCTTTTGTCAACTGCAGCGTGCTGTGCCTGGAATGCAAAAATGCAGCAGGACAAACTCCCCTGACCATTGTGTTCAAGCACAAGCATAAAGACTGTGTATTATATTTGCTGAGTAAAATGTGGTCTACGGTTTCTTTTCTGAAAATTTCAGTCCCAATGAGGATTTATATTAAAATAAAACAATGGATCCTCAGAGCTCAGAGTCACAGTCTTCATAAAAGCCAATTTTGTGGAGCAAGGGTTTTTGGAGCAAAAGTTGGAGACACTGTGATGGTGGATGGTTTCACCAAGCCAAAAATGACCTCCAAGAGCTGGCATAAGGCTGGGAACAGGGACTCGCAAAGCATCTTGCTCAAGCTACCATCTCTCAGCAAACAAACTCCAAGCAGCAAGCCTGTCAATCCTTTGGCAATTTCACAGTCAGACACAAGAGAACAAGCCCTCAAATTTCATCCACTTGTGAATGCCAATACATTCTCTGAATTACAAAAACAACAACAAAATCAGAAAAAAAATGCCGCCATAGCTAGTAAAAAAGAACAGCTCATAAAAAACACATATCTTCCCCAAGTCCACCTCCCTCCAGTTTCAAGAGCAGGATATTCACATTCATCATTTTTCTATGCAACACCCAGTGCTGACTTTTTACTGAAGTCCTCCTTTGCATCTTTCTCAGAGCACAGTGGAAAGACTCCAAGGGAGAATGCAATCTACTGCTTAGCTGTGGCAAGGTAATGTTCTCTCCTTAAACATACAAAGGGAAACCTTTCATAAGGCTTAGGGTAACTGAAATAAAGTTGAGCTGAGCTAAAAACCAGTACAGAAAAGCAAGTAAAACAATCTAGCCTTTTTTTTTCTTTCATACATGTGTTTACTATAGCCCAGTGCTGTGCCCGGCAGAACTGTGCATGAAAAGCATCTTTTTTTAAGGTGTGTGTGTATGTGTGTGTGTGTGGTTTTCTTTCTTGTTTTTACTTTATTCCAGGGTAAGGAATGGTCCATAATGCCCTATTATGCCACTGAAAGTAATACAAGTTGTTCCAATGCATCAATACCCAGCTTCAGGGACCTCATCTTAGCCTCATGAGTAGGACAAAATGAACTAATATTACTAACCAATCCAATCTGTGCAGTACTTTATTCCTCAAACTTTCAGAAGGGAAAGACACACAGTAGAAAGAATTGTATCAATTAGCAAGGTTCCTTGCTGCTGCTGCTGCTGTTGTTGCTGCTGCTGCTGCTGCTTTTCTTTTTTCTATCTGTTTGAGACAGGGTCTCACCCTGTTGCCCAGGCTGGAGTGCAGTGGTACTATTATGGCTCACTGCATCCTCGAATTCCTAGGCTCAAGCAATTCTCCCACCTCAGCCTTCCAAGTATCTGGGACTACAGGCACATGCCACTATACCTCGTTGATTTTTTTGTGTGTGTAGAGATGGGGACTCACCATGTTGCCCAGGCTGGTCTTAAACTCCAGGGCTCAAGCGATCCTCCCACCTTGGCCTTCCAGAGCCCTGAGATTAGGTAGGCATGAACCACTGTGCCTAGGCTGCTACTGTTTCTTCTTCTTCTTTTTCTCCTCCTCCTCTTCTTTCTCTTCCTCTTCTTGGTCTAAAGCTAATAAAAAAATTAATTGTAATTAGAGGGGAAAAAGAGAAAACTGAAATACGGGAGGGAGGCATCAAATGTCTCATAGAAGACTAGATGGCAACGAAAATGGGAGGAAAGAAAGGAACACTTCAATGACAAATTGAATGATAAGGACTTGAATTGACTTACTAGGCAAGATACACAGGTGGGGTGAGATCTATATGGAACAGGGTGCTAGACTTGGCATTAATATTTACAGCGAGTTAAAAGGTAATCCATAGCACATCTAAAAAAGATTAAAAAATTGTATCAGAATTAGCTATTTTAGGTACACAACTCTGATTAGAGCTCAGATCCCATCCATTACTTATGAGGTATTATTTGATGCAAATATTACAGTTATAAATATAGATTTATGCGTGACTTTTCCCCTTAATATAATGAGAAGGAAAGAAAAAATCAAGGCTAGATTGTTTTACTTGCTTTTTTGTACTGGTCTTTAGCTCAGCTCAACTTTATTTCAGTTAGGTTGTTGCCACCTTGTGGTGAGAGTAATTTGGGCTGTAAAATGCAAAATTCAATATCCAATAGAGTGAGGTTGACAATATAGGAAGACACTTAATAGCTTAATAGTCTCAATCTTTGTAATTTGTGAGATATCTCTGACTAGAATGTATAAAAAGAGATCATCAAAAATTCTAGAAATGTACTAGGAAAATTATTAATTGAAAAAACAACATAGACCAGCTTAAAATAAGGCTGCAAACAAGAAAGGAAATATTGGTTTGTTTTGTCAACAGATACATGCTAAAATGAGTTTATTTTCCAAACATTCAATAAATGTTTACTATAGCCCAGTGCTGTGCCCAGCAGAACAGAAATGTGCATGAAAAGCATCTGTTTTTAAGGGGTGTGTGTACATGTGTGTGTGTGGTTTTAGATGAGAAAAGCTGACGGTGTCTGTTGTGTAGAGTGCTTTCTTGGGGAAGAATTGAGTTATGAAATATATAGTAAAATCCATAAATACCACTAATCTCACATATGTGGCTTGTTAAATTTTTATGTTTTAATATATCCATGTAAGCACTACTCATATCAGAAGCAAACTATTTCCAGCCCCGAAAAATTTTCCTTCATGCCCCTTGCCAGTCAGTGATCCTTCCTGGATGTAGCTATATTATTCTCACCTCTGTCACTGAAGATTAGTTTAGCCTATTCTTGAACTTCAAATAAAGGGCACATATGGCAAATCCATTTTATATTTTGCTTTTTTGTTCAGCACATTGCCTGTAAGATTCATCAATGTTTTTGCATGTATTGGTTGTTCTTATTTCTATGTAGCATTCCTTTTTATGCAGCATTCCATATCTAATTTATGTATCTGTTTTCCTATTGATAGGCATTTGGATTCTTTCTAATTTAGGGGCTACTTTGAACAAAAATGCATGATTATTCTTACATATGAGGTTTGGTGGACATTTGCATGCACTTCTCTCGACTCTATACCAAGAAACAGAATTGGTGGGTCATAGGATAAATTTGTTTAGCTTTAGTAAACATTCTAAAGACTTTTTAAAAGAGACTACCAGTGTGCTATTTTTTTGTAGCTATATTTCATAAGGATTAGCATTATTAAGGAGTGGCAATTTCAAGATCAAGAAAGAAATTGCTAGAGAAGACATTTTGTTAAAGAAAGGGTTATTCTGTGAAGGAAAGAAGAGAAAGAGACAGAGAGAAAGGAAAAAAGGAAGGAAGGAAGGGAAGGGAAGGGAAAGAGGGAGGGAGGAAGGGAAGAAAAGGGTTAGTGCAGAAGGGAGACCCATGGGGGAGTGGTGGTCAGTCTGACTGTACACTTACTGTGGCAGTGTTACTCCCAGCAAATCCTCTTTTCATTTCTCTTTTCCCAATATTTTTCTCTTTCCCGTATTCACACCCTCCACTTCCCATCTGTTTCTTCCCCTTTTACATGGAACCTTTCCCAGGACCTGTTCCACCTTCCTTGGAAGGTGTGCTGTGGAAAGGAAGAGGAGATCTACAACCTCATGCCCTTGCAGTCTTCTTGATCTAGTTCAAGTTCCTCAGAGAAGTCACAAAAGCACTTATGTCTACCTGAAGTAGACAGTAGGCAGGCAGTCAGGTGGTGTGAGCACTCCTCTAAATGACCAGTGCAGCTCTTGTACCACAAAGACACAAACATAAGGAATGGATGTACACTATTTTGATGGCTACATGCACCAAGCTAGTATCATAGCCAGGAAATGGGGAAGAACCTAACATAATCCTTTATGATGCTGACGCAGGGATCAGGTGGGTAGAGTGACCACCAGATGTTCCTGTTCTGTAGGAAGAGGAGTCTTCCAAACCAGACAAGTCACCTGGCATCATGTGAAAGTACTTGTTGGACAAAATGTCATTCAGGAACTCTACCATTAGATTCATAAAACTAAACCTCTCAGGGCTGACTCCAAGATGGCACTGATGCATCTGGCATATAATCAAGTGCTAATGTGGGTTTGGGTTGGTGAGTACATGTGGCTAGTGTAGACATGACAGTCATTGAGGCCAGAAGGTCACATAGAGTATCATTCCTCAGCCTAGAAGGCAGTGTACGCTTTACACAGGTCAAAGAATATCTGTAAGGTGTGTCTAGAAAATAGCCTTCCTTATTGCTTATTGTCCAATTCCAGAGAAGTTTATGTGACCTGGGTGTCCAGCTAAGTAAAGATTCAAATGTAGGGGATTGATCCAAAAGGCTGAGAGTTTGAGTGGACTGAGAATAGATGATAATCTCAAATGAGATTTGAGAATATGAGCTTTGATGAGCTCTGGTATTCTAGGTACAAGTACAGCTCTTCTTTTTTATTCTTTATTTTAAAAGGCATGTCTTGTATGTTTTAATCACTTTTTTTTATATCCAGCACATAGAATAGTGCTTGCCATAGAGTAAATGCTCAATATGCACCTTTTTCTTAGGGTAAACATTTTTTGAATGAATGTGGAAAAGACAAGTTTCAAATGTCAGGGAGAGAATCAGGATAGGCTCTGAGCCTAGGAAGAGCTAGGATATGCATCAAAACAAGAGAGGACTTCAAATTAGGTCAGATGGCATATGAGGAAAGGCTAAAAGTACCTGAGTGATTTCTTTAAGACTTAACACCTAATTTTATGGGCATGATGGATGCGTTAACCCAGTTTAGAGAGCCCAGAAAAACATAGCCATTGAGGTAAAGGAAGAAGTTAATTCAGAACAAAGAAGTTGAATCAGGCAGATGTGGACCTGGTTCAAATGATGGAAACACTATGGTACTTTTATACAGGTTGTTCCTAATACATTGAGTCAAAGCCTTTTAAAAATACCAGACTTTGCCCGATAACATGGGTAGAGGTGAGGTAAAGGATCCAAGACAGCAACATGGTCAAAGGCACTGTTTGGTGAAAGAGCATGCAAGAAATTTAGTTTTCAGGAAATTATGTGGATTTGCAGAAGGCACTGTAGGCAATAGGGAGAAACTGGCTACAGATAAGACTGGCAATATGAACTGCATGCATCTACACTAAGAAGCATCTTGCGTGACCAAGTAGAGCGTTTGCTTCTTATTACCCCTTCTATGGGGCAGGAAGTGGGTGGGAAGCTCATAGAAGTTCTTATTCATGAAGTATGTTACATAATTAGTTTTAGATTGTTTTTGAGACAAATCTGATAGAGATATATGGAAGACTCACTGGAAAGATGTGGAAAGACTATAGTAGAGTTGGGAACCTGCAATAAGAGAAATAAGACAAATAAAGACCTAGACTACAACAATAGTAGTTAGGGAAAAAAGAAAAGGCCAAATACAAGAGATATTTCTGGGGAATCAGCTACAAAATTTGGTCATTGACTGGGTGTGGAGATAAAAAAAGAAGGAATTTAGTTTTGTTTCTAGATTTGGAGACAGTGAGGATAGCAAAATCAAAGTGTTAGAACAAGGAAACAGAAGTGGGACAAGTTTAGGAAGAAGATATGTTAAAGTAGAAGTGCCTATGGGATAAATATTTTTTTTTTTTGAGACGGAGTTTCGCTCTTGTTACCCAGGCTGGAGTGCAATGGCGCGATCTTGGCTCACCACAACCTCTGCCTCCTGGGTTCAGGCAATTCTCCTGCCTCAGCCTCCCGAGTAGCTGGGATTACAGGCACGTGCCACCATGCCCAGCTAATTTTTTGTATTTTTAGTAGAGACGGGGTTTCACCATGTTGACCAGGATGGTCTCGATCTCTTAACCTCGTGATCCACCCGCCTCGGCCTCCCAAAGTGCTGGGATTACAGGCTTGAGCCACCGCGCCCGGCCTGGGATAAATATTTTTATTTGGCAATTGGAGATATGCAACTTTTATGAAAGGTCAAGATTTAGGAGTCATCGATAAGGGAATTGAAACAGTGAGTAAATGAGGACTCCTAGGATGAGGTTATAGAAAGAGAGAAGGACCAAGGATAGAATCTTGGAGGACCTCAACATTTAAGGAGATGTAACACACCTCGGTATTAAATCACATTTGCATCCTACAAAGGAAGAATAGTTGTATTCAAATTTGCAAGTCTTTATTGGTATATAGCCAGAGAATTACTATCATAGAACATTAAATTCCATTGCTTTAGTTAAGACTATCAAAATACCTAGTATCTTTTCAAGTAAAAAATCCTCATGTGTGTTTGTAGGGGTAGAAAGTGGAGAAAAGAGAAGAGGCCAGGGAATATGTGATGTATAGGAAGATCTAGAAAAGAGAGAGAAAAAGTTTCAATGGAGAGAATTCTACGATATTGAGTGGCTTTCTGTTTCTAGTTGTGGATTCTAAATTTTTAGTATTGCCTTGGGAAAATATCATTCCCACTGCATCACCGGGAACTTGTTTTAGAAAGATCCCTGTTTCTATTTCACATCTACCTATGCGACAAGATAAACTAGCCCTAGCTACAAAATCAATCTGAAGATTTCCATCCTTTTTCAGCTATGTACGCAGACAAGAGCAGACCTTCTTATAAATTATATCTTGTTTTCTTGCAGTGCCTTTAAAGAGAAACGATGGCTTCAGCAGTTGGGAATAGCAAGAGTCCTGGCCAAAAAGAGCATTTCTAACTTGACTACCAGAGGAGGCCTGACAGCATGTGAAAACCCTCTAGAAACTGTGCTTTGAAAAGCACAACCTCAGCTTGGACAAAGACCTGATCAAACAGACTCTCCAGTTCTAATGTTAACATCTCGAATAACAGTTCTAATGTTATCATCTCTAGTAACAGTTCTAATGCCACATAACTTTTAATAGGATATTTAACCCCACGTTTTCTTAAACTTCATCACCCTAAGTGAAAATGTGGTACTTTTTTGTGTAAAGAATATGAGGAAGAATTCAGAAGAAACTGAGAATACTAGTTGCCCATAGGGTAGGGGAGCTGAGACAACAGAAAACAAGAAAGTGAGAATTTTTGTTTTGTTTCTTAAAAAAAAAAAAAAATCCAAAGAACTATAAATCATTCCTATAAGGACACATGCATACGAACATTCATTGCAGCACAGTTTACAATAGTAAAGACCTGGAGCCAACCCAAATGCCCATTGATGATAGACTGGACTGGGAAAATGTGGCACATACACACCATGGAATATTATGCAGCCATCAAAAATGATGAGTTTGTGTCCTTTGTAGGGACATGGATGAATCTGGAGAACATCATTCACAGCAAACTGACATAAGAACAGAAAATGAAATACCACATGTTCTCACTCATAGGTGGGTGATGAACAGTGAGAACACACGGACATGGGGAGGGGAGCACTACACACTGGGGTCTATTGGGGGGAATAGGGGAGGGATGGCAGCAGGGGGAGTTGGGGAGGGATAGCATGGGGAGAAATACCAGATGTGGGTGAAGGGGAGGAAGGCAGCAAATCACACTGCCATGTGTGTACCTATGCAACTATCTTGCATGTTCTGCACATGTACCCCAAAACCTAAAATGCAATTTAAAAAAAGTGTGTTTTGGTTTTCTAAGCCATATGAATGTAGAACATATTTTAAAATAAACAAAAATTTTTAATTCTATATAAGGAAAGTTCTTAAGAAAGTTAACAAATGCCAAAAAAAAAAAAAAAGAAAAGAAAAGAAAAAGAAAGAATGAAAAAGAAAAAAAAGAAGGTTAACAAATACCATCTAGGTCTAATGCTGATCTCAGACATCTTTTGAACTTCTGCTATAACGTTGCTTCCAATTAATCTTTTTAAACTGCATTAAAATTTACATGCAGTGAATTGCATGAATCTTAAATGTAAGATTCAATGGATTTGAAAAATATCCCAGTCAAAACAGAACATTTTTGTTACCCCAGAAAGTTCCTTTAAGCTCCTAAGTCAATCCCAACTTCTATGGGTTACTGTTATTCTGATTTCTATCTCCTTAGCTGAGATTTTCAAATCATTGGTATCATACAGTTGTTTACTTTTGGGTCTGGTTGTTCAACTTAATGTTTTAAGATTCATTTACATTACTGCATGTATCAGTAGTAGATTCCCTTGTTTTTTTTTTTTTTTTTTTGAGACAGAGTCTTACTCTTATCCAGGCTGGAGTGCAGTGGATTGATCTCAGCTCACTGTAACCTCCACCTCCTGGGTTCAAACGATTTTCCCGCCTCAGCCTCCAGAGTAGCTGGAATTACAAGCATGTGTCACCACACCCAGCTAATTTTTGTATTTTTAGTATTTTGTATTTTTAATTCCTGATCTCAAGTGATCCACCTGCCTCGGCCTCCCAAAGTGCTGGGATTACAGGCGTGAGCCACCATGTCCAACCATACATTCCTTGCTATTACTGAATAGCATTCCATTACATGGATGCACCATAATGCATAGTCTAAGGACTGTGTAGATGTTTGGGTTGCCTCCAGTTTTGACATATTATGAATAAAGCTTTATGAACGTTATTGCAAAAAGTATTTTTCTGGACATATGCGTTCATTTCTTTTGGGTAAATATCTAGGAGAATTGTTGAATAGTAGGGTGAATGTACATTTAACATTATAAGAAACTACCAAAGGGTTCTCCAAAGGGATTTTATTATTTTTAACCCTTTGACTAGCAATGTACAAGAGTTCTGCCTTCACACACTTGGTGTCATCAGTGTTTTTTACCTTTAATCATTCTATGGAGTTTGAAATGGCCAATCATTGTGGTTTAATTTGCATTTTCCTGAAGACTATGATGCTGGATGCCTTTTCATGTGCTTATTGGCCATTTGAGTATCTTCTTTTGTGAAGTATCAATGCAAGTTCCTGCCTATTTAAAAAATTGGGCTATCGTTTAATTATTGGTTTGCTGGAGATTTTTGTATTTATGATACAAGTTCTTCATCAGATATATAGATATAGATACATAGTGGATCTTTTTCCCAGTCTGTGGATCACCTTTTCATTTGACTAATGATGTTTTTTGATAAACAAAAATGTTTTAAATTTGATGAATGAGAAGTGACCACTTTTTTCTTTTATGGTTCATGCTTTTTATTTCCTCTAGAAGAACTCTGCCTGCTCAGATGCAGTGACTCATGCCTGTAATCCCAACACTTTAGAAGGCCGAGGTGGATGGATCACTTGAGGTCAGGAGTTCGATACCAGCCTGGCCAACATGATGAAAACCTGTCTCTACTAAAAGTACAAAAGTTAGCCAGGCATGGTGGTGCACACCTGAAAAGCTGGTAATCCCAGATTTTCAGGAGGCTGAGGCAGGAGAACCACTTGAACCTGGGAGGCAGAGATTGCAGTGATCCAAGATCGTACCATGACACTCTAGCCTGGGCAACAGAGTGAGACTCCATCTCAAAAAAACAAAACAACAACAACAACAAAAATAAACTCTGCCTACTCAAAAGAAATGAAGATGTTCTCTTATATTTTCTTCTAGAAGTTCAATAATTTTAGTCTTTACGTTAGGTTTATATTCTATCTCAAATTATTTATGTGACTGATGTGTAGTTAGGGTTGGGATTAATTTTTGAAAACACTTTCCTTTCCCCCACTGACTTACCTTAGCATCTCTGTTGAAGATCAATTGGCAATATAGGTACAGATCTATTTCCAGACTTTCTGTTTTTTTCCATTGATGTATTTACTTGTCCTTATACTAATACTACATTGTCTTAACTACTATGTCTTAATTAGTCTTAAAATTAGGTAATATGAATCTTCCAACTTTGTTATTTTTTTTCAAGTTTGTTTTGGCTATTTTTAGTCCTTCACATTGCCATAAAAAATTTAAAATAAACTTGCCATTCTCTATTTTAAAAGCCTGCTGGGATTCTGATTGGGCACAACTGACGTTTTAATAATATTAAATCTTATAACCCATGATGTATATTTCTGTATTTGTGGTATATGTCTCCATTTACTTAAGCCTTAATTCTTCTTAGCAAAGTTTTGTAATTTTCAGTGTACCGGTCTTGTAAATCTTCTGTTAAAAGTTTTTTCCTAAATATTTTATATTTTTGAGGCAATTTACTGAGATGATAATAAGACAGATTTTGGTATAGCAGTCACATGCACCTAAAATCAAAGACTCATTCTAAAAGCAATACCTTTGAGGTCTCAGTTAGATATTATGGAGTTGGGGCACAAAGGTTAATACAAACACACACAAATGCACACACACACATAAAGATGATTCTATAGGGATGTTGTAAGGCAGCATGTGAATAGGCATTAGTTCAACATAGAGAAAACAAGAAATGATAGTGACTGGCAGGAGGCACAGCAGAGATTCTGGGTGTTGTAACATTCTATTTCTGTTCTGGAGTAATAGGTGTGTTTAATTTGAGAAAATTCAACAAGGAATATTTTTGAAATCTGTACCTTTTCTGTTTGCATTTTTATAATGCAGTTATAAATTTTTTATATATTTTTAATTTTTATACAAATTTATATTTTTAAAATTTTTATATAATTTAAAATTTTTTATATATTTTCAATAATTTTATAATACAATTTTTATATGAATTAAAATAATTTTTAAAAATCTCAGGAGCTAATTCATGCATTTGGTGCCAGCTTTAGAGTCATGAGAAGGTGGCTGGTGTGAGAGAGGCTTGTCACCATGTTATTGTCCTCTTGACAGTGTAGTGAATTGAGCTGTAATTCCTTTCAGGGGGTGATAATATTTTACATATCATTGAAACACAGCCAAGTAAATATGCTGTGCAAGGATTCTGGGGCTAGAATACTTAAAAAGGAAAAAAAAAGGGAAAATATAAGAGAAAAGAAAGACATATGAGCTGGAGGGGAATAAAAAATCCAGGGAATATGTGAGAGAATCATTGATATAAGCCTTGTTCCCTACCAGCATCAATTGAAAAAAATACTGAGATTTATGCTTTGTTTATATTCACCCTGGAAGTAGGAAAGCATGAAGTGACATTAAGACTGTATATATTTATAATGTAAATGCAATTGTAGAGTATTAGTATTAACATGCACTGGATACCCTTAGACATTTATTCTCAGCCTGATTCTTACTGAAATTAGAGTTAATGTATATTCTTTATGCTTCTGTGTCATTTTGTTCATTCTTCAAGTATTGATACTCATCACACTATATTAAAGTTACTTTATTGTCTGTCTCCTTCACTTTTCTGACACCTCCTAGAGAACAAGGACATTGTTTTATTCCCCTCCAAACTGCCAAAGCACAGCATATCTTTGAACCTTTGAGGAATTGCTCAATAAATGTTTGTTGAATTAAATGAATGGCTTTTAAGATGATCCTGCACATGGAATTCTCAATTATTTATGAATTTATAGAAGCATGAAATCTGCTCCTATAAAAATGTAAATGCTGCTGTTTGCTTAAGTCTAATTTATTGTTTAATTTGATCACCAAAATCAATTTTTCAATGTGAATTTATTAGTTCATCTGAGCATTCTCACAACCCCGCATGGAATAGAAGGGCAGTATTAAAATACCAATTTTACAGATGAAAAGGCTATGCTTATAACATAAAAACAATTTATTAGAGCTCATACAGGTAATGTCAGAACCAGATCTGGAATCTAGAGTTTTGATTTTTCACTCAGGTAATTTTCTCTAAACAACTATATCATCTATGGCAAAAGAAGTCATTCTATAAATTATCCTGGGGAGTTTTAACTCCTGGGCTGGTTTTTTCTGGATGTTACTTGGTTTCTTTTTTTTTTTTTTTTTTTGACAGTGTCTCACTCTGTCACCCAGGCCGGGTGCAGTGACTCAAATCTTGGCTCACTGCAACCTCGGCCTCCCAGGTTCAAGCAATTCTCATGCCTTAGCCTACCAAGTAGCTGAGACCACAGGCACATGCCACCATGCTTGGCTATTTTTTTTGTATTTTTAGTAGTGATGGGGTTTCATCATGTTGACCAGGCTGGACCCAAACTTCTGGCCTCAAGTGATCCTCCTGTCTTGGTCTCCCAAAGTGCCAGTTTTACAGGCATGAGCTACCGCACCCGGCCTATGTTGGTGCCTTGCCACCTTATTTAGACAGCCCATTCTTCTACTCCCTATTCTCACCTTCACCTCGCCTGTCCTCACTTCATTCCCTGAGATTACAGAGAAGAAAGGCTATTTCTTTTTTCTTTTTCTTTCTTTCTTTCTTTCTTTTTTTTTTTTTTTAATTTGAGACAAAGTCTTGCTCCCCAGGCTGGAGTGCAGTGGCACGATCAAGGCTCACTGCAACCTCTGCTTCCCAGGTTCAAGCGATTCTCCTGCCTCAGCCTCCCAAGTAGCTGGGACTACAGGCATGTGCCACCATGCCTAGATAATTTTTTGTATTTTTAGTAAAGACAGTGTTAGCCAGGATAGTCTCGATCTCCTGAACTCATGATCTGCCCACCTCAGCCTCCCAAAGTGCTGGGATTACAAGTGTGAGCCACTGCACCCAGCTGAAGAAAGGCTATTTAATATTGGCATATTATTGTGTCTATCTGCAAATTCATTTCAGCATTCCTTATCCCCTATATATGTACAGTTTTCAAATACCTCTTTTGAATCAGTTGAAACTGGTTTTTACTGTAGTGTCACTAATTCTCTCATTAACTAGTTCAATACATTATTTGACATGTGTTCACTGTATATTGTAGAAGAGTTATGATTTTACATTTTCTGAGAATTATTCTTTAATAATGGATGTTTTCTCAATAATGTATGAATAAAGGCAACTTCAGGGAATGATGCAATTTTTGCTGATCTGCAATTCACAGCCTAAGTAAAAATTTTGTTCTCTCTGCAAATCATACTTCAAGACCTAACCAATAAGTTCAAGGACCTGTCTTTCTGTGCCCCAGTGGAAGAAACAATTTCAGTCAGATGTGATGGACAATGTAGACACACAGAAATGACGTGAAAAACTCTTCCAATGTTCCCTGAGAGACTCAGAATACAGAAAGAGTTGTCTCAAGCCTTAGATAGAAAAGACAGATATGAAGAGTCTCCTCCTCTTCCCTTCTCTTCCTTCATGCCCTCCATTTTCAAGGGATTGAGATTTGAAGAATCCTATTCCTATCAATTGGCAACTTTATAGTCTCTTATATTCAAACCACAGCAGGTGAGAAGAGAGAGTTGGAAAAGAAACTAAATTATCACAGGCCCTAAACACTTTTTAAAAGACATTGCTCTGGGCCGGGCATGGTGGCTCATGCCTGTAATCCCAGCACTTTTGGAGGTCGCATTGAGTGGATGACTTGAGGTCAGGAGTTCAAGACCAGCCTGGCCAACATGTTGAAACTCTGTGTCTACTAAAAATACAAAAAATTAGCCAGGCATGGTGGTTAGGTGCCTGTAATCCCAGCTTCTCGGGAGGCTGAGGCAGGAGAATCACTTGAACCAAGGAGTCGGAGGTTGCAATGAGCTGAGATGGCACTACTGCACTCCAGCCTGGCAACAGAGTGAGACTCCTTCTCAAAAAAAAAAAAAAGACATTGCTCTAAATTCTGTAAGTATCAGTCATTGTCATCATCATCATTATCTTTATACTAATTTATAATCACATTTAAAACTTGTCAGAAACCTCCAGTTTTCAGCCTGGTATGTAGAAGAATGGGCTTTGGAGCAGGTGGGTAAGGGGTCCAATCCTCTCCTTCTAGCTTTGTCACAGGCTTTGTCTCACAATCTCTGGAGTTTTGTCTCTTTATCTGTAAAAACAAAGCCACGGCTGTTGAGGATATTAACTGAGATATGTTTAAGATAACATATACAGAAGCTCTGTGGGAACTATTAGCTTTATAAAAGTGTCAGTTGCTGGACTTGTCTCTCAGTTTCCTTATCTCTAATGGAAATTATAATGGAACCTACCTAATAGGGTTCTTGTATACTCCAAATATATTTAATAAATTTAAGAACAGCTCCTGACACGGTTAGTGCTTAACAAACGTGAGCTATTGTTATTATTAATGTGTGCTCCACGAGAGGGCGTGCCGGATTTGAAATACCTTGTCATCTCCCAAAGAGCCTAGCACCGTGCACCTAGCAGGCACTCCCTACATCTTTGGGGGATGATTTATATAAGGAAGAGTGTTCTAACCTCAGCCTCCACTGCAGGGGGCGTCCGAATGTAGAACGTTCGTTTGTAGGCCGGAACCCAAAGCTCCGGACGCTGCGACGCCGGAGCCTCTAGGCCACCGGACACGGACGCCGGAAGTGGCGAAGGCGGGGTCTGCGCTGCCGGGTGAGATCGTAGGCCAGCGAAGATGCTGCTGGAGTTGTCTGAGGAGCATAAGGAGCACCTGGCCTTCCTGCCTCAAGTGGACAGCGCGGGTCAGGGGGCGCGGGGGCGGTGTTCTGTGGGCTGGGGAGGAGGTCCAAAGGCAGCACCGGGCACTCAAGAGCCTCTGACTTTCATTGCAGTGGTCGCCGAGTTTGGGAGGATTGCTGTGGAATTCCTGAGGCGCGGCGCAAACCCAAAAATCTACGAAGGCGCCGCCAGTAAGAAGGGGAAGGGGACGGCTCCGCAGGCTGCTAGGATATTGCGATCCATTCTCTGTCTCTCGGGAAGAAGGGGATTATTGCAATTCCTAGGGTCTTGTTCCCATTGTAGTAGAATAAAACCAGCAGAGCTCTTCAGTCAGGGAGCAAATCCTGCCCGACACTTAAGTAGCTGTGAGATTGTTAGAGCTTCTATTAAATCAGTTTTCTCATGGTAAAATGTACATAATACCACCTCACTTTCAGAAATACTGAAAAGAAGTTGGTATAAATATACCAAAGTCTGTGGAATAGTTGGTTCAACTGTAAATATGCAAGTATTTGGTTATCATTATTAATTGCTCAGATATCCGCTTTTGCTAAAAAAGTGTTGTTTTCCCCCTGAATAAGAGGCAGTCTCTGGGATTAAGTCAATCTCTGTCCAGTTCCTCTTCTACCAAATTTGAAGGAGCTACATTCAAAAGAAGGGCTACGCACCTGATATTAGCCTCCACAGTTTGCGTTTTGTTATGGTGGGAAATACCAAAGGTATTTGGCTGGGGGTTGGAGTGAGAAGGAACAGGAGCCTCTGGCCAACTTACTATTTTTCATGCAGTGTTTGAAAACATGTAATAATGGATAGTGTTTATTTTTACTTACAGATATGAACAAGGTAGACACCACAGTGGTAATTTATTTGCTCGTTTTTGGTTTTCTTTCTCAGGAAAACTCAATGTGAGTAGTGACACTGTCCAGCATGGTGTGGAAGGATTAACGTATCTCCTCACTGAGAGCTCAAAGCTCATGGTAAGGGTTTCTCTGGACTCCTTTGTATTGCCTAGATCCTTAAGAAAGGTCTAGGGTACTCCACATCATAGTCCTGGCAGGTACATGTGTATTTTAATAATGTTGTTAATGGTTTATAATTGAGTTTTTGAAGACATATCTAAAAAATAAAAATTATATAACATCATCTACTGACATGATTACCTCTTGCTAGTATAAATAGCTAGTATAGAAGTACCTCTAATTCTGCATGTTGTTAAACCATATATGTATCCTAAGAGGAGAAAGAATATTAATATTTTGTTTGCATATCAGCAGTATCTGGCTTAATGAAGAATAAGAAAGGAAACTGGGCATCTTAATTATTTCCATTTTATACTTTAATAAAGTACTTTTATGTATCAGTAACTCAGATTTTGGCATGGTGAGCAATGGTTATCTTTAAGGAAATACTGTTTCTTTTACTAGACAGAATACATTAGAAGACATCATTCTTTTGTGTATATCAGGTATTTTAGCTAGACAAAGATAAATTTGATTTTCTTTTAAACTCAATTTACTTAGATTTCTGAACTGGATTTTCAAGACTCTGTTTTTGTTCTGGGATTCTCTGAAGAATTAAACAAATTGTTGCTTCAGCTTTATCTGGACAACAGAAAAGAGATCAGAACTATTCTCAGTGAATTGGCACCAAGCCTTCCCAGTTATCATAATCTTGAATGGCGACTAGATGTACAGGTATAGCATTTTTAAAATTAACTTAACATAGAATATAAGAATTATTTTAGGTTTGCATCCTGTTTATTGTATTCCTTTCCACTTTAACTAAGATCCAGTTTGAAACTTTGTTTTTTTAACATTCACTTTTAGGCCATTTCTTTTATTTTCATTGTGTTCAAATCAGTTTAATTTACAAAGTTTATAAGAAATTGGTTATTTTTGAAAAGGTAATGATTATGCAGATTTTTTAGGTGGTGCCTAGATGTTTAAAAACTTTTGTGTTTGAATATAACCGATGTTGAAGAGTGCACAGGTCAATGTACTGCTCAATGAATTATCACATGGTGCATTTAACTATGACTCACACCCCAGAAGCATCTTCCTTGCCTCCTTACAATTACTGCCCCTTCCCTCATTTTCAAAGGTGACCAGCATCCTGACTTCTAACACAAATTACCCTTACCTGCTTTTTAACTTTGTATATATGGAATGACTCAGTAAATATTCTTTTGTACTTGACTTCTCTCACATATTATTTTTTGTGAGATTCATCTTTCCGTTGTTTTTAAAGTCATATAAATAAACAAAAGGGTATATTCAGATCATTGCATATAGTCTTTTATTAAGCAGAGAGAGATGAGTTAGTAGATGTGTACTGAATGCCATCTATTTGCTGATCAGAGCTGTGCTAAATGTTTTCAGACACAAAAGAAGTGTAAGATACTTTGTCAACTGGAAAAGATCTTATCACCTTGGTTAGGGATATTAGGTATTCTCAAAATAACTAATAATTAAAGGTCTTTATAAAATAAGGTTCTTGATGGGGATAAAATAATATAATTATATAAATGAAGATGACAGCTGTTTCAAAAAACTGTGTAGTTGTGTATATGTGCTGGCATTATTCGAGAAAGCTTCAAGCAAAAGGAAGTGAAATTTCAGAAAGATGAATGAATAGAGAAAATTAGGGTAAATATTCTTGGCAGATAAGGCAGAATATGTTGTAAAGGCCCACATTGATATGGAAATGAGCATATGAATATGTGGTACAGTGCACTAGTTTTCAAAGTTGACTTCATATTAGAATAACCTGGGGAGCTTTACAAAAATTCTGATGTTTATGTGTAATACCCAGAGATTCTGATTTATTGGTATGGAATTCAGCCTGACCATCAGGATTTTTTAAAGCCGCTTTTCACCCAGGTAATTCTAACGTGCAATACAGTTTGGAAACCACTATTGTAGTGGATTCTTCTGATTCAAATGGAGGTAATGTCCAAATTGGTTATAGAAATTCAGTTAAAGGGGTTTAGGCCTGTTGTAGCAGACAACAGGAAGCCCTTGTAGATATTTGGATAGGAGAGTAACATTAAGATCAGGTGCGGTGGCTCACAGCTGTAATCACAGCACTTTGAGAGGCCAAAGCAGGTGGATCACCTGAGGTCAGGAGTTTGAGACCAGCCTGGGCAACATGGTGAAACCCCATCTCTACTAAAAATACAAAAGTTAGCCAGCCTTGGTGGCACACACCTGTAATCGCAGCTACTTGGGAGGCTGAGGCAGGAAAATTGCTTGAACCCAGGAGGCAGAGGTTGCAGTGAGCCAAGATTGTGCCGCTGCCTTCCAGCCTGGGTGACAAAGCAAGACTCCATCTCAAAAAAAAAGAGAGAGAGAGAGTAACATTAAAAAACAATCACTTAGGAAAATTAATCTAGCATCTTTGGGCAGAGCTGAATGGAAGTGGGAATTCAAAATATGAAGAGCATCAGGCCTTTACACATTATTTTTCCTCCGTATGAAATGCTTTTTCTACTTTGCTGCTACCTCTTGACTCCACTAATTCTTACCCTTTTAATTCTCAGTTTAAATCAGGGCTCAACAAACTGGCCTGTGGGCCAAATCTGGCTTGCTACCTATTTCTGTAAATAAAGTTTTATTGGGACACAGTCATACTCCTTTGTTTATGTATTATTTATGGCTGCTTTCAAAGTACAAGGGCAGAGTTGAATAGTCGTGCCAGAAGCAGTATGATCTGCAAAGCCTAAAATATTATCTGGCTCTTTATAGAAAAGGTTTGCTGATCTGTGCTCTGAATGATGTCTTCCTCTGGGAGGAATGACCCCTGCCACTAGTTAAATCTTGGTGGCATTTGTGTTTTTTTCTCTTGGCACTGTGCTTCCTCTTTTGGCAAGTCATCTCACTTAAATGTACCTGATTTTCTGTTGTTTGTGTTTGTTTGTTTTACTAAACTGTAAACACTGGGATAGCAGGGACCATGTGATCTTATATATTCTCTTTCTTCCAAGTCTCAACATCTCTGTGCTCCACATGCTTAACTGTTGACCTTGCTTCCAGCTTGATTAAGAGAAGCAATCAGAAAGAACTCCCACAAGCACCAATTACCACATTTCTCAGCCTGTATTAGGACCCACTTACTCTGCCTTCTCTCCCATTTCTCTTGTTGAAGTGCCCGTGCTCTTATCTACAGGCAACCTTTTCCCTTGTATACCTCAGTCCATTTCCATTTACCCTCATGAGGACAGAGTTCTAGTAATTATTCCCTCTCTTACCTGCATCATACTTTGTTTACCTCTATTGAATCATTCCCTTCTTCACGTAGTCAGAAACCCAGTCTTGACGCCATTATACTCCTCCTACTGCCACTCCATTATTTTGCTCCTCTTTATACTAAGACTTTTTTTTTTTAAGACAGCATCTCTCTTTGTTGCCCAGGCTAGAGTGCAGTGGTGGGATCTCAGCTCACTGCAACTGAGTTCAAGCGATTCTCTTGCCTCAGCCTCCTAAGTAATTGGGATTACAGGCGGGTGCTACCACACCTGGCTAATTTTTGTATTTATAGTAGAGACAGGGTTTCACCATGTTGGCCTGGCTGGTCTCGAACTCCTGACCTGAAGTGATCCACTTCCTTGGCCTCTCCAAGTGCTGAGATTATAGGCATGAGCCACCACTTCTGGCCTATACCAAGACTTGTTGAAAGAGTTGTCTCTATTCATATATTCTCTCTTCCCATCATCTCTTAAACTCTTTCTAATCAGACTTCATCATCACCATCATCACTCTCCTCTCATAACTTACTCAAGGTCATCACTGTTTAGTTTTATGCCATTCTGTTTATTAACAGCATTTGTCACAGTTAATCATGCCTTCCTACTTGAAATACTTTCTTTGGTTGCCTTCTGGGAAATAACTTCCTCTGGTTCTCAACCAACTTCATAGGCTCCTCTTTCTCAATCTCCTTTGCTGATTTCTATCTCATTGCCCTTTAAACACTGGGATACCTCAAAGGTCGGTTCTGAATCTTCATACCTTTTCCACTTACATTCTCAAGCTGGTTTCATCCAACTTGAATTCTTAAATAATGCCCATATTCTTGGAATTCCCAAATTTATATCTTTAGCCTAGACCCTGTCCTCCAAACTTCAGAGTCATACAGTTGAAGCCTGTTTGACATCTCCACTTTGGTAATTTGATAAGCATTCAAAGGCAGTATATCCCAAACTGAATCCCACCTTTCTTACCCACTGATACAGTTTGGTTCTGTGTCCCCACCCAGATCTCACCTTGAATTGTATTAATCCCCATGTGTCAAGGGTGGAACCAGCTGGATATAATTGAATCATGGGAGCAGTTTTCTCCATGCTGTTCTTCTGATAGTGAGTGCTTACAAGATCTGATAGTTCTATAAGGGGCTACCCACTTTGTTTGACATTCAGTCTCTCTCTTGCCACCTGTGAAGAGGTGCCTTCTGCCATGATTGTAAGTTTCCTGAGGCCTCCCCAGCCATGTAGAAGTGTGAGTCAATTAAACTCTTTTCTTTATACATTACCCAGTCTCCATTATTTTTTCACAGCAGATTGAGAAAGGATTAATATACCCGCTCCTTACTACAGCTGCTCCTTCCGTAGCCTCTCCCATCTCCGATGGTACATCCATTGTTTGAACCATACAGGCCAAAAATATTTTTGGGATCATCCTTGATTCCTCTCCTTGACCTTCATCTAGTCTATCTACAAGTCAATTTTTTAAAAAGGTATCCACAGTCTGACCACTTCCCTTGTATGATTTGAAAAAAAAGTATGAAATTTCACACCAAAATTTTAATTTTTAGCAACTTTTGAAAAATTAGAAGTTCAGGCGCACTAGAGCCACACTCACGTGGCATTAATCAGTTGAAGATAGACTGAATTTAAGATGATGACAGCTTATTTAAGTTGCAGTCTCTACATTAGGTGAGGATGTGGGCCTAGAACAGAGATGCAAAATTATTTCATATCACAAATGAGAATGCTTTTTCTGACATATGAACTGAATCTCATTGGCTGCTCATGACTAATAGAAATAAAAGCCAATGATTAAAGTAAGAGTGGTTTTAGGGAAAACAACCACTAGACACAACACAGTGTCACTGAAAGTAACAGCAACATTTAGGAATAGAGCGATCATCAGGGGTATAAGAGTTAAGACAAAAGACTTAGGATTGGCCGGGCGCGGTGGCTCAAGCCTGTAATCCCAGCACTTTGGGAGGCCAAGGCAGATGGATCACGAGGTCAAGAGATCGAGACCATCTGGTCAACATGGTGAAACCCTGTCTCTACTAAAAATGCAAAAAATTAGCTGGGCATGTTGGCACGTGCCTGTAATTCCAGCTACTCAGGAGGCTGAGGCGGGAGAATTGCCTGAATCCAGGAGGTGGAGGTTGCGGTGAGCCAAGATCACGCCATTGCACTCCAGCCTGGGTAACAAGAGCGAAACTCCATCTCAAAAAAAAAAAAGACTTAGGATTTGGACAGAAGAAAGATGTATTTGTCCTACTATATCTTCAAATTTTACACTTGGGATAGAGTGGCTGGCCTAGAGAATATTCCATTATCATGAGCATCTTCAGGTACATGCAGATAAACAATAAAAAAGATAATTTCTTATGTCCCATTAATCCATTCTTGCTTCCACACACTATTCAGTTATCAGACCATTTATTGAATGTCTGGTGCATGCTAGGCCTTGTGGACTTAGCAGTGAAAGAAACAGTGCTTGTCTTTGAGTCCTCACAGTCTTACAGTAAGAGGGAGACCAAAAAATAAAATTTCATTAGAAATCAGCAATTATAATCAAGTGTGATGAGTGCTTGAATAGGCATGAACACAGGATGTGGTATAAACCAGACCGTAGGCTCCAGGAGGGCAGGTATTTTGTCTTGTTCATTGCTGTGTGCCCAGCACAATACTGGCATATAATAGGCATTCGGTGCGGAATAGAAAGAGTGGGTGGCACGGGGAGTGGCTTCTTAAATTATTAATCAGATATTTCTTGTACCCCTAACATGTGCCAGGTGTTGTGGATATAGCAAAGAACAAAACACAGTTCATGCTCTGGGGGACATCATAAGCAGCAAGTCTTGTTCATGGGGGAAATGACTGTGGATAAGCCTTTATATTAGGTCCTTTCGTGATAACCCAGTGGAGATGTGAGGATGGTCATGTATGTGGCTCAGCAGTAGTTTATCTTATAGACCTTTACCTCTCTTGTGTGTGCAGGTGTCCCCTGACTTTTGAGGTCCAATAGGCTTTAACAGTTATTTTTTGGCTTTATTGATTGGCTTTGAGTTTTTCCATTATGAAGACATTTTTGGAAGTTAAAATTAAGAAATTGAATTTTCTAAAATTAAACTCAAGATAGTTCATTTATGGAGTAAAATCAGTTTGAATCACTGCATTATTGCTAGGACTAGTATGGTTTAAGGTTGAGAGTATACTGAATGAATGTTGCTACTTATGGATAAGTACATTTAAGGCCTCAAAAAGCTACTCAGAACCAACTGAGTTCCTGAGCTTATTTGTTGAAACCATTGCATAGGATTTTAACTGGAGTGGATTCTTCTGCTCAGGGAGAAAGGCATAGCTGGTAAGACTAGCTACATGGCTAGGAAACTAGTAACAAGATACAGCATCTTTCATGTTTAAGTAACTGACTTGTCTCATGGAAACTCTTAGTGATGGACAATTACCACTTAATTATTGTGTGCTTGCTTATGGGAATCAAATTAATCATCATAGCTTAGTGTCTCATAGGAACATTTCCCCAGACTTAATAAATTGCCAACGCAATTGATGTCCTTGTTAATAGCATTAGTAATTGAATGTACCGCTATCTGAGACTGATGCAGGAGGATGTTCCTTTTAGGGCTGGCTCATTTACAAGTACTACTTCAAAGCATTCTTTTTTTTGAGACAAAGTCTTCCTCTGTTGCCAGGTGCCAGGCTGGAGTGCAGTGGCGTGATCTCGGCTCACTGCAACCTCCGCCTCCCGGGTTCAAGCAATTCTCCTGCCTTAGCCTCCTGAGTAGCTGGGACTACAGGCGCGCGCCGCCACGCCCAGCTAATTTTTTGTATTTTTAGTAGAGACAGGGTTTCACCATGTTGGCCAGGATGGTCTCGATCTCTTGACCTTGTGATCTGCCCGCCTCGGCTTCCCAGAGTGCTGGGATTACAGGCCTGAGCCACTGCACTAGGCCCTTTTTTGAAACAGAGTCTTGCTCTGTTGCCAGGCTGGAGTGCAGTGGCACAATCTCAGCTCACTGCAACCTGCGCCTCCCAGGTTCAAGCGATTCTCCTGCCTCAGCCTCCCAAGTACCTGGGACTACAGGCACGCACCACCAAGCCCAGCTAAGTTTTGTATTTTTAGTAGAGACGGGGTTTCGCCATGTTGGCCAAGGTGGTCTCAATCTCTCAACCTCGTGATCCGCCCGCCTCAGCCTCCCAAAGCGCTGGGATTACAGGTGTAAGCCACTCTACACGGCCTTCAAAGCATTCTTTTCCTGTCCTGTCCACATGCTATTTGCTCTGAGGCTAAATAGAGAACTGAATTAGGAACTGTAGCTACCTGAAACATAATTTATGTATCCTGTTTCCTGCTTGATGTTTTTTGCCAGAATACCCTCTTCAGTGCCTTGAGTTATGACCCTTCAAAGTAAACATTTTTTTCATTTTTTTTCTAATTTGCATTGAGATATGACATTTTAAAGTTGTTTTTATTGTTGTTATGTTTACAGGGATAAGGACACAATTTCATTCCCCTTAAAAAATAAGTCCATATTAAGAAATTTGTGGGCTACTCTCCTTTGTCTTATAGTACTGTCATTCAACTTCTTTCTGAGAAAAAATGTCTTACTAGATGTTTGTTAGGGATGTTATGTAATCTCTTTTCTAGAACTATTAAAGAATAGTACAGATATTTGTAAAGATATTTAGATATGTTGTCTAAAAATTGGAGGATAGTAGCTTTAAGTCTTTCAACAAAAAAGTCATGGCTTCATTACATACCACATACACTCAGTTCCTGTCAGTGCAGACCCTGTCTGTCAGTATAGAGGAAAAACAAATATAAACAGAGCATAATTGAATAAATAAGTACTGTTTTCAGTTATATGTGTAGTTTGCATATATGTCATAATCTATAATTATCTGTACTACAGAGATGATCTTAAACTAGTACTTTAGCCTGCAAGTACCTATTTTATTTTTAGGACTAGGTCAGCCAAAGGGATTGACCTATTGTTTGTAAATTATTTTGGGACATTAAATTTCAGCCTTGGATCAGTATCTTGGGTTCTTTTGGAAGCCCAAGTTACCTAGAATTATTTGGAAGAAGTTATTAGTTAAAATATTCTATGTTATGAAATTAAATTTATCCTGAAATCTCAGGTTTAGATTTGTTATTCACTTGAAAATCTCTTCAGGTGGAATCTAGTCTTCTTGACATGACTCCACTATTTTTGATGACTTTTTTGCTGTCTCCTATAACAGGATGTTTCAGGCTCATCTTGTATAGTTTCTCTCCTACACTTCAAATCAGCTGTTGCTTTGGATAGTTCTGGTTCCTTTTAATGCAGACTCTAAAGACCGAAAGGACCTTCAAGTTGGTCATTGTTTATAGTTTTGGGATTTTTCTTTTAAAAATATGTCAGTAGTACTTATTTTTAAAATTTTGGGATATCTTATACAAATGAAAGGTTATAGATAATCAGTTTAAAGAATAATGATAAAACAAATACCAGTCCACCCACCACCAAGCTTAGCAAATAAAACGAGTACCTCTGAAGAACTATACCATCCCTCACTTGTAACCATCTCCCAGCCACCTGGAGGAGACCATTATCCTGAATTTTCTGTCAATCATTTCTTTAGGTTTTTTTTTTTTTTTTTTTTTTTTTTTTACCTGGAGACAGAGTCTCACTCTTTTGCCCAGGTTCGAGTAATAGTGGCGTGATCTCAGCTCACCACCATGCCTGGCTACTTTTTGTATTTTTAGTAGAGACAGAGTTTCACCTTGTTGGCCAGGCTGGTCTTGAACTCCTGACCTCGTGATCCACCTGCCTCGGCCTCCCGAAGTGCCGGGATTATAGGCGTGAGCCACTGCGCCCAGCCCCTAATCTTTTCTTTATAGTTTTTTTAAACATAAATTTTGTCACTGAACTGTATTTTTTAGACTTGCGCATACTCTGTGACTTGCTTTTTTCATCATTTTCTTTTTAGTTTCTTCTATGATAAGAAAGAAATTTGCTGTAATTTTGCTGTAATTCATTTCTTTTCTCTGCCATTGAGTAAGCCATTCATGTGTGATTATGCTTGGTTTATTCGTTAAAATAAATTCTTTTCTCTGCCATTGAGTAAGCCATTCATGTGTGATTATGCTTGGTTTATTCGTTCTGTTGTTAATGAATATTTGAGGTATTTCTAATTTTTAGTTTTTGGAAATATACTATCAGGAATAAATGTATATGTGTAAGACTTTAAGGTATATGCTTAGGAGTAGATTGCTGGTAATGCACATTGTTTCATCCTTTATAAGCCTTGGATGAGAGTTCTCATTACTGCCACTTGCAGTGCTTGGTATAGACAGGTTTTTAATTTTTGCTAGTCAGATATTTGTAAAATGGTATTTCATGTGATTTACTGGCTATTATCCTGATGATTAATAAAGTTGAACGTATTTTTCTATGTTTATTTATTTGTCTTCTGTAAAATGCTTACTTAGACCTTCTTTATATTTTTATCTTGAGTTTTGAGGTTTTTTCTTATTAAATCAGAGGAGTTCATCACACATTCTGGATACTAATCTTTTTTTGGATATATGTGTGTTGCAAAATATCTTCTCTTGGTTTATGACTTGTTTTTTCACCATCTTTAAATATCCTTTGAAGAAAATTGATTTTTAATGTAGTTAAATTTATCAGTTTTATCTTTATGGTTTAAACCTTTTATATCATGTTTAAGAAATCTTTCCATTCCATAAAATTGTTTTTATATTCTTATTATTTTCTTTTCAAAAGTTTTAAAGTTTGCTTTTCATTTTGAAGTCTATAATTCATCTGAAATTTAATTTTCTATATGGTTTAAGATAATTATAAATAATATGTATTCCCCATGGTTTTTAAATAGTTACTGTGCTCTTCTTTCCTTTAAAATCAAGCTTGCAAGTAGAAGTCTCAGGCAACAGATTAAACCAGCAGTGACTATAAAGCTACACCTTAGTCAAAATGGAGATCACAACACCAAAGTTCTACAAACAGACCCAGCCACCCTGCTCCATTTGGTTCAACAACTGGAACAAGCATTGGAAGAGATGAAGACAAACCACTGTAGGAGAGTTGTTCGCAACATCAAGTAGTGCCAGTTTTAAGGTTTGAATACCTTTGACTCATTTATGAATTGATGATATATAGCAATTACTTTTCAAAATTATTTTTTTATTAATTCATGATGATAAATACATCTAGACTCCTCAGTATCAATTCCAGGATACTGAGGTCATCATCAGAAGCTAAAGTAAAGTTCCTTTCTTGGTGCTAACTTGCTTGGTTCCTTCCATGGTCATCTTGACAGATTAAGATGTATTTTATATTTTAAGTCTCATGCTCTAACAACGGAATTAGCTGGGTGGCCATTATTTTGTATTTTAAATATAATAGGATTGAATCAGCTAGAAATGAATCTATATCCTCTGTATATATGAATGACTATCCTGGTTTTGCTACTGCTTTTGACTGCTTAACTGTATTATTTTCTTCTTTATTGATCAAATTTGAAAATAAAATTCATAGTGTAATACTATTCCTATGCAGAATTTTCTAAACGGTTCAGTATTTTTGACTTTTAAAACACCCCAAAATGTTAGTAGCCACAGAATATTGAACATCAATATGATTTTTAATGCTATATTGTTACAGGTAGTTTATTCATTTTTCTTTGTGAAGATGATAAGTATTTACCATATTGCCTAAGTATGAGTGATCATGGTTAACTGGCTTAAATGGTTCTCAAATTTGTGTGGTCATATATTGTGTCAAGGACTGATTTCTTCCACCATACCCAAAGCATCTAAGAGACACTCTGTCATTTACAATTTCTTTTTTGGGATGGAGTCTTGCTTTGTCACCAGGATGGAGTACAGTGGCCTGATCTTGGCTCACTGCAATCTCTGCCTCCCGGGTTCAAGTGATTCTCCTGCCTTAGCCTCCCAAGTAGCTGGGACTACTGGTGCGTGCCACCACCATACCCAGCTAATTTTTGCACTTTTAGTAGAGACAGGGTTTCACCATGTTTGCCAGGATGCTCTTGATCTCTTGACCTTGTAATCTGCCCGCCTCAGCCTCCCAAAGTGCTGGGATTGCAGGCCTGAGCCACTGTGCCCGGCTCTGTCATAAATAATGGATGCAGAGAAATATAATCAATTCTTGATTGTCCCAGTTACAAATTATAGTCACTTTTTATAATTTGAATAAACTATGATGAGGGAAGAAAGGCCATGTTTATTATATTATAAACAAATGTCCCTTCTCCCTTACAAACTTGATTTATGTTTTGTTTTATTTTTTAGTAAGGAACCAAAAACTTTTGGCCTGAAAAACTCAGGTGCTGATTTGTCAGGTTAGCCTGAGAGATTGCAGAGACACAGAGGCTGACTTAGGGAGAAGAATTATATGGAAGGGTGGAAATGAGGGTTCAGTCTTAACTGTATCTAAGGTCTTATCCAGAGAGTCTTATCTTTATGGAATAACCTAGAAAGGGCTGTAGAGGCAACCAGATTCTAAACTGCACTCCAGACTTTGTCAATACTTTACTTCCTAAGAATTAGGGATTTTCAGGTCAGTGATACCATGTTGCAATCTCTTTAGAAAAGAGAGAGCCTAGCAGGGAATAGGCCAGTGGAAGAAAAGCATACTTCAAATGGCTCCGGCATCTAGGCTACCCTTTTCCTATAGGTGTGTGTTCTACAGTTGTAAAAAAAAAAACTATATTAAATGTCAGCAAACTATAATCAGAAATAATTTTTTATTATAGTGACAACTTGATTAGTGAAGCTGTCATATATACAACCTCACAAAGGGGAAGCTTTATCTATTACATGGATTAGTAGCATATGTCACTGGTTTTAAAAGCAACATGCCTGCAAAGCTTATATGATTAAAAAAAACCTCTGTGAGGCCTTTTATTTGTCCACATTCAATGGAAGATAAACATGGCTGACCTCAGCCAAGACTTAAACAATAACCCTTTGTCTCCTCAGAACAACCTATCTCCCATCTCTGTGTCTACTGTTCCTGCCTCAATTAAAACAAGAAAGCATGTGCTAATTTTTAAAAAATTTTTATCAACCTCCCTTGGCCTCCTTTCACTGTACTTCATTATTTCTTCTGTGATGTTATACGTTCTTCACTTTTTGGGACCAGGGTGAGTTGGGAGCAGTTTGCCTACCTTCTTTTAGAATCTAGAGCTCATCATTTAGTACAAGCCATTGAATGAGCCTTTTCCTTTTTTTGCTCAAACATTCCACATCCTTGTGGACTCCCCTGCATTGTTTGTTTTATGTAACATTTAATATTTGTTATAGCTTGGATATGAACATAATTTTCTATAGCGATAGTCACTATTTTACTCACCAGTGTAACCCATAGTTTGTTGACTCCGAGTAATGCGACTCTATATCTAAATTTCTCATGGAGCATTTTGGATTATGAGTATGCTGATTTTTCAAGAGTGGCTGGTGCATGTTTAGACTTAAATGTCATATCCTTCATGTCTCAAAGCCAAAATAATAACTTCTCATCTCAGAACAGGGCTGTGAGCACATGCCAATGTATGTGTCACAAAGTCTACATATGTTACATTCCTTGGAAGTCTCCTTAAATGTTTCACAAAATGTCAACAACCTTGTTTTGTTATTGATGTTTCTGAGATTGGTCACATTTAAGACAGTAAACAGGAAAGGTGGTAAAGATGCTATAAGAAGATGCTGTATCTTGAGAATTGAAAAATGAGACTCTGACATGGTTTGAAAAATCATGAAGGGTGTGTATAAAGGATGCATGTAGAGGAACCCTTAAAATTCGTAACAGTATGTGTCCTTTTAGCATTTTAATCTTATGAAAAGGTTAAGAGGTAAGTCTTCAGAGTTGGACAAAAGGATTTGAATTTAGGTTCTGTGGCTTATTATGGGTCCTTGATAAATTCTCAAAGCCTTTTATTTGTTTAATCTCTAAAATAGGAATATAGGATTACCTACTACATTGGCTTATAAGGACTAAATCAGACTATGTATATTGAATGTTTAACATAGTAACAGGCTTTACAAAGAAGTCAATAAATGTTTACTGTTATTAAAATAGTTTTGTAGACTGAAGACCCCATTATTTTACAATACTGAATTGTGTGCTGTATACTCTGCTAAAGAAACTGGGAAAAAATGTTAACTGGTTGTTTCTGGGTGGCAGAATTATGGTTTCTTTTTCTTTTTAATTTCTATAGTAAGTTTGAATGACTTTCATAATATTTAGAAAAAATACTAAAGGAAAGAAAAAAGATCAGAGAATTTAAATATATTTTTAGTAGATATTTTTATCCAAATTTTAATTCTTAGAATGATAAACACATGGTTTATGAGAAAGCTCAGCTGTTCAAAACTACTGAGTCCCCAAAGGACTCACGTAAACAGGCTGAGGGTTTTACATAGAAAGTGCTCTAGATCTAGTTTCCTTTTTCTGTCTTTTCTTTCTGCATGTTAGTGAAGGAAACATAGGAATCTTATCTAAGCCATTTCTCCTTTTCTAAGTAATACTACATCTAAATGGAGAATCGTCCATGTTATTTTTTATCTCAAATGAAAACATAGTACTTTGTAGTTTTTCACTTCCCTTATGATCAGAAAATTCTGCTATATTAAAGTCCTCCTGGTATAATTTACTCAGTCTTCTCTGTACTTATATGAATTTGATTAAAACTCTTTCTAAATTTAATCTTTAATAAGATAATCATAGATTACTCTCACATCTTTCTTCTACCAACAGTAGAAAATATTTTGGTGGAAATGTTATGATACTACATTGCCTCTAACTTAAATATGTTCACTTTTAAAACCATCATGACTGTTATGTTCAAACTTAAATACTTAGAACAAATGAATGTAATTCACTATTAATATGGTTAGTTCAGTGAGCATTATAAATTTTGAAAGTAATGTTTGAATTATAAAAGCTGAAAAGGCCCATTATTTTTCAGCTTTCAAAACATCCTTTAAAGATGAGAAAAATACTTTATGGCACTAAAGTGTATAGTTTAATGATTTGATCACTGAGTAGTAATTGCTCTTTGTTCTAGATTTTTATAGCTCCTCTCTACCCAGGAACTTAGACTGTGACTTAAGTATGCACAACAGCCTAGAGTCCATAAGTTTTGACATACCGTAATGGAGAAACATAGAAAAAACAATTTTAGGCCGGGCACTGTGGCTAATGTCTGTAATCCTGGCACTTTGGGGGGCCAAGGCAGGTGGATCACGAGGTCAGGAGTTTGAGACCAGCCTGGCCAATATAGTGAAACCCTGTCTCTACTAAAGTACAAAAATTAGCTAGGCGTGGTAGCATACACCTATAGTCCCAGCTACTCAGGAGGCTGAGGCAGGAGAATCGCTTGAACCCAGGAGGTGAAGGTTTCAGTGAGCCAAGATCGCACCACTGCACTCCAGCCTGGGCGGAAGAGTGAGACTCTGTCTCAAAAAGTAATAATAATAATAATAGTAATTTTATATTCTTAATGGGCTGAAAGTAAAAGGGAATATCAATAATACAAATATCTAAGTTAATGTACTCTAAAACTTGGCTTTTACTTGAGTCATTGCCATTCTAAACCCAAGCAACTTTTTAATAAGATAAACTCCTTTTTATAATTGTAGTGTAAATTGTGTTATCATTAGAAATTTTGTTAATTATGTGACCACCAGAGTGAGAGACTGTGCTCTTTTATTGTGCTTGAGCGTAAGTTGACATTTTTTAGTTGCAAAGACTACACTTTTCATTTTCTTCTCTTGCAGTTATCATATCCTCTGTTGCAGAAGAGTCTGTCCAGCAACCAAAAGGGGAAATAACACAAAAAAAGATTTTGCCTTTTCTCACCAACCATATGAGACCTTTTAACTTTTTAAATTTTTTTACTCTGCTCAGTTAACACTGAGCTACAAACTATCCACTTATGCATGGCATTATATTGATAACAAAACACATTTTGAAACCTTTTCTGGCTTTTTTACATGGTACAGATTCAGTTTTGTTAAATAGTAAGTGCTTAGAGTGATCCATATTGTGTGTTGAACAAAGGATAAAGTTCTAATCTCAGAATTTAGAATCGTCTAGGGCCAGTCCATCTGCTAAAACAGTTTAATCCATAAGCTCATTAGGCTGCAGAAAGGAATCTCCTGAGAGAGTTATTCTGAAGAAGGGAAGTTCCTCTGGTCTGGCGTCTGCTAGAATTGCTTTTCCTTGTAACTCTACCTTCTTCTGGAAGGCAGAAAACTAACATGATTCAATGGCTACAGCTGTAGAAGTGTGCAGAGAAAAGGTTAAATCATTATAGAATACTGAAGAATACTTTCACTGAAATTATCCTTACTCTTTTTCCATTGAAGTGGGGTCCCCTGAGGTAACCAGAGGTGTGATGGGAAAAGCAAATCAAATTCTTTTTTACCTGCATGCCAATGTTGTGATTGTCATAAGTCCAATGAGAAGTGGATGCCTGTGGTTTTTTAGGAATGTGCTTAGTTCACAGAATCAAAAGGGTTCTCAGTTAACTCAAAGACTAAAAACACACAGATTAAAATTCAGAGAATGAGGAAAAGAAAATCCAGGGAAGTCTGAGTTTCATTGGAGCAAGTATAGATGGTTAGAATATGATTTCCTGGCATGGTCTGAAAACTGTATTCTTTCATTCCAAATAAATAAATAAATTCTTACAATGATCAAGCAAGTTTAGGTGCTGCACCGTAATAAAATGGCTTGATTTGCAGCTGAGACTTGGCACAATTCATAGACTAAAAGAAGAGCTTAAGAAAAGCTGCAGGCAATTTTTTTTTAGTACCCTGGGGGGGGAAATGAGCAATTCCCCATGTACTTTTCAAAAAGGCAAAAATTATTTATCTCCTGGAATGAGCAATGTAATTAAAACCTTTTTTTCCCCTATGTTTAGTCTTTCAAGAATACAATTACTGGGTATTCTTTTCTATACTTGTTTCATCCACTCTTTGTTTTTGCCAAGAGATAAATACTAAATTTCGTGCCTTTCTTAGGCCCTTAAAACAATTTATTTTCATGCCAAACCTCTCATTAAGCCTCCTCCCTTTCTTTTAAGAAATTGTTTTTTATTGAGATATAATTCACATAAAATTTACCCTTTCAAAATGTACAGTTCAGTGGCTTTTAGGATGTTCACAAAGTTGTGTAACCATTAGCACTATCTGATTACAGAACATTTTCATCATACCCAAAAGAAACCTGTAATTATTAGCAGTCACTCTTCATTTTCCCCTCTCCTAGCAACCACTAATCTACTTTCAGTGGATTTGCCTATTCTGAATGTTTCATATAAGTTATTTTATAACATATAACTTAAATAACTTAAATTCCTTATGTTATATAAGGAATTATATAACATATGTTCTTTTGTGTCTGGCATCTTTTACTTAGCATGATGTTTTCAAGGTTCATCCATGTTGTAGCATGTATCAGTATTTCATATCCTTTATGATTGAATAAGATTCCATTCTGTGGATACTCCTTTTCACAGTATTTTAAACAAGCCTTTTTATTGGTCTTTGTGATTATAATATGTTGCAGTTTATTTTATGTTCATAAAAGAACTTCTAGCAGATTTAGTGATATATTTTCTATAATTATGGTTTTTTATAATTTTCTTCCCAGTGTGGTGGCTCAGGCTTGTAATCCCAGCACTTTGGGAGGCCAAGACAGACAGATCACTTGAGGCAAGGAGTTTGAGACCAGCCTGGCCAACATGGTGAAACCCTGACTCTACTAAAAATACAAAAAATTAGCCGGGTGTGGAGGCAGGCACTTGTAATCTCAGCTAATCAGGAAGCTGAGGCAGGAGAATCTCTTGAACCTGGGAGGCGGCGGTTGCTGTGAGCCGAGATCACGCCATTGTACTCCAGCCTGGGCAACAAGAGTGAAACTCATCTCAAAAAAAATAATAGAATTACCTTCCCAGATACAAGTTGGAAGCATCTGAGAGCGACCTCTTCTTAGCTAGTTATTAGAAGAGTTGTTTTCCAGTGGATTGTGTTTTGTTTTTAGCCTTATTCAAAAGTTATACCAGCTATGAAGTTAGATGAATTCTTGAAGAGATTTAGCTACAATCAGCTGTAAAGAAAATTAGACCAGTTTTACAGTCAGTCTCCATATCTCAGTTTCACATACATGTATTCAACTAACCACAGATCAAAGGTATTCAGAAATATAAAACTATAACAATAAAAATAATGCAAACACTTTAAAATGTAGTATAACAACTATTTAGATATTACAAGTAGTCTAGAGATGACTTCAAGTATAGGGAAGGATGTGCATAGGTTATGTGCAAACACAATGCTCCTTGATTTATGATGGGTTTACCTTTAGAAATTTTCTTTTTCTTGCTTGCTTTTCTTTTTTTTGAGAAAATGTCTTGCTCTGTTGCCCAGGCTGGAGTGCAATGGCATGATCTCGGCTCACTGCAACCTCCGCCTCCCTGATTCAAGCTATCTGGGATTACAGGCGTGCACCACCACATTCGGCTAATTTTTTGTATCTTTAATAGAGACGGGGTTTCTCCATGTTGGCCAGGCTGGTCTCAAACTCCTGACCTCAGGTGATCCACCCACCTCAGCCTCCCAAAGTGCTGGGATTACAAACGTGAGCCACTGTGCCTGGCCCATCTTTTCAATATTTTTCTATTTATGATGAGTTTATCCAGATGTAGTCCCCTCGTAAAGACCATATTAAATGTATGTATTACCATCCTAAAGTCAAAAAATCGCAAGTTGAACAATTAAAAGTTGAGGACTTTCTGTACTACACCATTTTATGTAAGGGACTTGAACATCCACAGATTTTGGTATCTTCAGGAGTCCTGGAACCAATCCCCTGTGGATACCAGGGAAAAACTGTATATCTTTTTAATTTTAACTTAAAATATTTCCTACTAAAATGAGAGATGTTCTGTGGGCATTTGGCAGATTTAGAAAAGATAGGAAAGCAACTAAGGATTTATGTCTTCCTATAGTCATCTAGTGTTTTTCAAATTAGAAAGGTAAAAACCATTAAAAATTTATTTGTCTATAGTGGAATGGAGAAAAGGGCATTTGCTGTTCCATAAGTCCATGCCTCAGAATATTCTAAACTAATTTTGAAATAGCCACATCAGAAGGTCTTTAGGACACTGCTCCCCAGATGGTGCAGCTGCTTCAGCCACTGACTTCCAAGGTTCATAAGCTATTGGAGGAAATGGAAAGCTACATAAACATCATCAGTTCAGAGTGCGTTAGGCAGATGAAGAGCTACAACAAATAAGGACCTCTGCATTTGTAAGAGAGGGACCCAGCTCTGCATTTATAAGAAAGGGACCCATTAGTTTTCACTAGGGACATCGAGAAGATGCTTTTTTTAACTGATCATTTTGCTGTTTTGATTACACCCCAGTTTACATGTGTGGAATATTCTCTTCTAAGTTGGCTGTAGTTCAATGGGACTATCAGACATGGGGCCGTGCTCTCTGCTATCCATACTGAGGCTATAAATCTCTCCTGGAACTCTGAAATCCTTGGACTTAAAGAGAATGGTTGACACAAATTCATTTTAGTGGCCTGGCCAGGTGTTTGATGGCCTGTTACACGGCCTCATGGATCTGCTCCTATTCTTGTCCTTTATGGATCAGGTCTTAGGTCTGTCCCTTGATTCTGCAGAGTACCTAATGCATTTCTAGTAAATTCATTCTCTGCTTAGGTTATGGTCTTAGGGTCTAACCCTAAATGCTATCGAGTGTAACAATACAGTTACATTAATTTTATAAAATTGCTTACATTATTACACAAATGGAATTTTTTAAAAATAGCTCCGCAAATTGTCGTGTATCTAAAAGTTATTTTTTTAGGATAAACATATATATTGGCTGCAACAAACTTAGAGTTAAGATCTCATGGTGTGAGACAAGATTCAAAATATACAACATTAATGACCATTTTTCTTTAATGCAGTAGTCCTATTTGCTTTCTATACCTTCTTCATCATATTTATAAATTCTTATCTCCATAAATTATTTAAAACATTAAATAATCATCGAATGAAACAGTACCTAAAATAGTACGTGGCACAGAGTAGTTAAATTAATGAACAAGTGAATGAGTAAATAAGAGTGATGAGTGAATAGTACATGCAATATACTCTGTGCATGGGCTGCTGAGCTCTACAGGGGAACATAAGCAAAACCACAGAGATTATCAAGTTTATACATTCATTGTCATCAATCTCAATTAAACCCTTAACACTGGCTGTCTGTTTCCCTAGTCAGCTGTCTCCCGTTTTCAACAACTATTTCAAAACTTCTCCACTCGCCTTAAACCTCCAGTCCACCCAGCACCCCTTCTCATTCTTAGTAGATGACTCTTTTCTTCTTCACGGAACGAACAGAGGTGACCAGACAGGAATTCTCCCCTCTTTTGGTCACCAAGTTTACAATTCTCCCTATTCCCTGCTCTAATAGTCCTTTTCCTCTCCCATTCCAGTAGCCATTCCTCACATTTCTGGATCCCATTCTTTTCTGACACTTTTGTGACTTTTACTTATTCATCTTCCTCATTTCTTATGTTAAAAAGTGAGTATTTTTAAGTCTATTTCATCTCAATGTCCTTTGGTTCACATCCCTGTTCAGTTACCATACACCTTCCCTATTCTCTATTTCAGTAACTCCTTGAAAAAATTCACCTTCCTTTCCATACCAACCTTGGTAACATTTTCAGGAACTTCCATGTCGCTAAATCCAATACATACTTTTCAGTCCTCATTTTAATGTACCCATCTCCATCCTTTGTTTTCTTATTTTCTTTTTTTTCCCTCTAGTATTCTCCCCTACCCTATTATGTTCTTTTTTGTCGCTCTGCTATTTTGCATCCTACAACTCTAGCACTGTATTATTATTCTTTGCAGCACTCTCCTCTATGCTCCTCTTAGTTATAAGTGTTCCCCAGAGCTTCATCCTAAGCCATTTCTCTCCACACATTTATGCTAGGTAGTTTGGCTTATTCCCTAGGCTTTAATTAACATCGGTTTGCTGATAACTATCAACTGTAGATGTTTGGCCCATATTGCTCTCCTGAGTTTGAGACAGATGTACTTACTACATATCTGCACTTAAATGTCCGACAGGTACTTCATACTCAAAATAAACAAAATTCGGCAGAAGTGTCCTTCTTTCCTTTTTGCTATAGGCCCAAGTGGTTGCTGCTAACATGGGCAAGTTCATGAAACCTGGGAAGGTGGTGCTTGTCCTGGCTAGACGGTGCTTGTCCTGGCTAGACGGTACTCTGGATGCAAAGCTGTCATCATGAACATTGATGATGGCACCTCAGATCACCCCTGTAGCTGCACTCTGGTAGCTGGAATTGACCACTAACCCTGCAAAGTGACAGCTGCCATGGGCAAGAAGAAGATCACGCCAAGAGGTCAAAGATCAGTCTTTTAGGAAAGTTTATAACTACAATCACCTGCTGCCCACAAGGTACTCTGTGGATATCCCCCTGGACAAAACTGTCATCAATAAGGATGTCTTCAGAGATCCTGCTCTTAAATGCAAGGCCCGATGAGAGGCCAAGGTCAAGTTTGAAGAGAGATACAAAATAGGCAAGAACACGTGGTTCTTCCAGAAGCTGCGGTTTTAGATGTTTTGTTTTGGTCATTAAAAAGTAAAAATAAACATAAATAAATAAACAAAATTCATCTTCTCTTACAAACTTGCTCTTCTTCCAATGTTTTTTATTCATGAAATGGCATCACCATTCAGTCACTCAAACCACAGATGTGTGTCACTCTTTGCTTCTCTCTGACTTCTTACCACAGCTGGTCAATTCCCAAGTTCTATCAATTCTACCTTCCTAAATATATCTTGAATTAGTTCACTTCTCTTCATTGCCCCCATGCTCATTGGTCCACTCTTATCTCTTGTAAGAGCTAGTGTATCTGCCTGCAGTTAACTGGTCTCCCTGATTTCCTCTTATCAAACCCCCCATACTCCACAGTGCATTCCCATTCCTTGCCCCAAGTCAGAATTGTCTTCCAAACATAGAAATCGTATTATTTGAATGCTGAAAACTCTTCAGTTGATTTACATTGCCTTTTTGATAAAATTCAAACTTCTAATAACTTATAAAGTCTTTCATAATCTGGCTCCTTCCTTGATCTCCAATCTCCAGCCTCATTTCTTTCTTTCTTTTCTTTTTTTTTTCTGAGACAAGAGTCTTGCTTTGTCACCCAGGCTGGTGTGCAATGGCGCCATCTCAGCTCACTGCAACCTCTGCCTCCTAGGTTCAAGTGATTCTCCTGTCTCAACTTTCCGAGTAGCTGGGATTACAGGCATATGCCACCATGTGCAGCTAATTTTTATATTTTTAGTAGAGACAGGATTTCACCATGTTGGCGAGGTCCAGCCTCATTTCTCTAGTATTCTCTCCTCCCCTAGTATGTTCTTTTAGTTCCCTCACTTCTATGAAATTGAATTCAGAGCTTCTGTCTGGACCCTCCTCCATCATCTACTAAGTTAACCCATGCATTCTTCCGGTTTTAGCTTAAACTTCCTTTTCTCCAGGAGGTTAGGGGTCCCTGCTCTCTGCACATAGTGCTTTATGCTGCCTTATAGGTGCATTAGGTTTTGCTGTAATTACTAGGTTAATTTTCTATTTTTTTGAACTATAGCAACTGCTTTTCTTGTTTCCTCTGTATTCTGGATCTGTCACTATGTCTGGTACATGGTAAGTTCCTATTAAATGTTGAAGGGCAAAAGGGAGCGAGAGAGAAAGGATCATAATATGGAGTAGAGTACAAAATTTGCATACATTTTGCTTTTCTGTCACACAAGTATGGTTTGCATTAACCTCATAAATTACATCTTAGCCTTTTTTTTTTTTTTCTTTAATGTAAAGACATATTTAGGACATGCTGTCTGCAGATCCCACTGAATGGACAGAACAAGATCCTTAGACCAGTGGTTCTCAGCCAAGGCCACTCACTGGAATTACTTGAGAATTTTTTAAAATTCTGATTCCTGAATACCAACTTTATAGATTCTGGTAATTGGCCTGGTATCTGTTAAAGCTCTCCACATGATTCTGATGTGCAGCAAAAGTTAAGAACATGACAGTTTCACTACAGCCACTCCTCTATGACTTGCTTCACTGACTGATACTCAAGCTGGTCAAAGAACAAGAAAATCAAACAGTCCAGATTCAGCAGAACCCTGATCCACCCACTAGTGCTTTCAATTACAACTAAAAATGGCTGGAACAATTAAAAAAGAGTTTGTTGGTACCAATAACTATCAAGTCCAGAGGTAGTATTGGTTCCGGTAAACATGATCCAGTGGCCTAGAGATGATCCCAATGCCCCAGTATCTTTCCTGTCTTTGTTGGCTTTCTCCTAATTTAGACTCCTCTCATGGCCACAGATGGCTACTAAAGGTACGTGGAAAATGAGCCTATCTTTGTCATTAACATTATTAGAAAAGTCTTTCAGATTCACTTTGGTTGGACTGGTTTAGGTTACTAACTAACTGCTGTGTTTGAGGGGTTGGAATATAGTAGAATAGGAGTGGAGTCCTCAGGAGACACAGCAATCCCCACATGAAAATGGGGTCTTTTAGAAAGGAAGAAGCAAGAAAAATCTGATTTACCCATACAGTGGTTTCAGCTGGCTGCAGAATTTGGTCACAAAACAGCAGCACTACTTTATAGTAGTACTGTGTACGTAGTACAGTACTAAAAAGTACATACTTTATAAGTAACCCAGATTTCTACATCAATTCCCACAGTTAATGAGTACTAAAAGATTAAATGTGATTATATTAGTCACAACACTGTTTTATGAGAACAGAAAATTGTTTTGAATCCTGCAAACTTAAGTTGCCTCCTGTATGGCTTTTGTTCAGTGCCTCAGTAAGCAATGTTTTCTTGCCTCATTTTGAAAAATGAAAAATCTTAGATTCTCCAGAAAGAGTCTGATTTGTAGATACCCACCCTGCCCCTTACCCCCAGCTGAGTCACCAGCCAGGAGCATTTTGTTGAGGTTTATTTTTTACAATTTTGTTATGAATTCAGTAGAGTTTTAAATTCCCCCCCCAATATTGTTGAATTATAATATTGGATATGCCTTTTCTAATCATATATGCTAAAAGAAAATACTCCCAAACACACACTCCCCTAAATGCTTCTTCCAGGCTGGCTGCAGTGGCTCACACCTGTAATCCAAGCACTTCAGAAGGCTGAGGAGGGCAGATCGAGGTCAGGAGTTAAAGACCAGCCTGAACAACATGGTGAAACCCTGTCTCTACTAAAAAAAAGCAAAAATTAGCTGGGCATGGTGGCATGCGCCTGAAATCCCAGCTACTCAGGAGGCTGAGGCAGGAGAATCATTTGAACCTGGGAGGTGTAGGTTGCAGTGAACCAAGATCACACCACTGCTCTGCATTCTTTGCTCTGCCTATCCCCCAGAGAATGGCAACCCTCCCTAGTTGAAAACTGTTCTAGAACTTGCTGTCACCAAATATCCTTCTGGTTATAATTTGGCTTCTTAAGTTTCCCATATACAGAAAATGTGCTAACCAGCAAACTTGGATTTGGAGCTTGCTTATGGTTATGTTTCCCATTGCAAGTTAATTAATTGGCATTCATCAGCCCTTAGAGTCCCATTGTGTCTATGTGTGCTAATATTTAAGTTTCTGAGTTAATAAAGCTGAGTACCACATTCCAGAAAAAGCCCCTTCCATAAATCTCACTAGGACCAGAGGTGCTATCCTGTCCTGGTGACCAGCTGGTCATTCTCCAGGCCACCCTCACCAGACTCCTTTTCCTCCAATTCTACTATTATAATCATTAAAAAAAAAAAAAAAAAAAGTCATAAAATAGCATAAGTAGAATTTCTTTTACTATCTGGAAATGCAAGATGGCACACGTCTGTAGAAATATTGAAAGGAGAACAAGACCTTTAGGTTGCTGTAATCCTAGGGTTGATTATGAAAAGTTCCCCTGAAGTGAGTGCTTGTGAGGAAGAACTCAGTAGCTAGAATGCAAACTTTGAATAAATATTGGCCCTAAAAATCTCTTTTATGTGTGGAGGAAGGAAAATAGCTTATTACAAGAGTAGAGACTAAATTCACTCATAGGCCTGCAAGTTCTATTATTCCACAAAACCACAAGGATGAATTTTGTAGTGATGCAAACATCAAAGATAAAGCCTTTTTATTTTACTTTTTTAGATGGCCTTTATATTTTTTTATTTTTTATTTTGTTGCCCAGGCTGGAGTACAGTGGCGTGATCATGGCTCACTTTAGCCTCGAACTTGTGGGCCCAAGTGATCCTCCCACCACAGCCTCCCAAGAAGCCAGGACTACAGGCATGTGCCATGCCTGGCTAATTTTTTAATATTTTGTAGAGATGAGGGCTTGCTATGCTGCCCAGGCTGATCTTGAATTCCTGATTTCAAGTAATCCCCCTGCCTTGGCCTTCCAAAGCACCGGGATTATAGGCATGAGCCACTGTGCTTGGCCAAAGAGTAAAGCCTTGGCAGATATGTTGTTGTTTTGTTTTTAACTATAGCATATCTCAGACTTATACAAAAGTAGATAGAATAGTATAAGGAACCCTCATGTACACATCACTTAGTTTCAATGATAATCAACTAGTGTCAAATATTGTTGCCTCAAAATCCCCACCCACTTTGCTCAGTGCCCCACTTTTATGTAATTATGAGTCAAATCTCAGGCATCATTTCTGAGATGGAGATTGTTTAGTTGAAGAGCAATCTTATTCTGGCTGGTAATATGAAAATGGTCACTATGGTAGAAGACTTGTATCTCTTCAGATTACAGTTTCCTTATGGTTAGGCTGCACTATCCCAGTACAATTTCACTTGTTCTTGGGTGCATGTGATACTTGGTGTTAATTAAGGGGATTGTTTATAGGAGAATAAGAGCAAGTCTGAAGACCCCAGAAAAAGTGTGCAGGCCAGATTATTACCTTAAACTTTAGAGAGCTGGCCTGGATTTGGCTGGATGTGACACATACTGGGCCATGGAAGACCCTTACTACCACAGAATAAGGAGACCCTTATTCTAAAACTGGAGAACCCAGAGGTGCATGCCATGGAATGCAAATACTGTTACATCAATGTAATCCTTTTTCTACTTGGGAGGCTGAAGCAGGAGGATTGC